GTAGGGCTAACTGGCATTTATGTTTGGAGAAGTTGCATGCTTTCCATTGTACTATTAAAGACTCTTAATTCATTTAATTTACTCCTCGCAGCATACTTTGTGAGACAAAACTACCTATATTGAAATTTGAACACTTTCTAGTTTAGTGACTGGTCTGCTTAAGGGAGAGTCCTTACTCTTAATAAAGTTAGACTTTCTAAGGCAAACTTTTTTCTACCTTAAAGGGAATGATTAATTATAGGTCACTGATTTATTACGGATTGCCAACTGTGTATGTGGTATTTTGCTGTGGAGGAAATACAGGCCCAGGTGGTTTTAAAATAATTTATTCAAGGTTATATACCTAGTAAAATGGCAGTGTGATTTTAGAGCTGATGTTCTTTCCACTCCACCATCTTTTCTTTTTGTATATAAATAATTTTTTTTTTCAGGTTAAGAGGACAACTCTAGTGGATAGCAGAACATCCGTTACCGATGTGAAATTTGCTCCTAAGCACATGGGTCTTATGTTAGCAACCTGTTCGGCAGATGGTATAGTAAGAATATATGAGGCGCCAGATGTTATGAATCTCAGCCAGTGGTCTCTGCAGCATGAGATTTCATGTAAGCTAAGCTGTAGTTGTATTTCTTGGAACCCTTCAAGGTAAGCTTACACAGAAAACCTGATAATATAATCTTAGTAAAACAAATTAGTAATTTTTTTTTTTTTAAGATTTTATTCATTTATTAGAGAGACAGCGGGAGAGGGAACACAATCAGGGGGAGTGGGAGAGGGAGAAGCAGGCTTCCTGCCAAGCAGGGAGCCCGATGCAGGGCTCGATCCCCAGACCCTGGGATCATGACCTGAGCCGAAGGCTGACGCTTAACGACTGAGCCACCCAGGCACCCCCAAATTAGTAATTTTTAAGCTAAGCATTTGATGGTTTAATTTCCTTAAAACATTTTTCGTAGCCATGTTTATTATTATTATTATTATTTTTTTTTTTTTTAAGATTTTATTTATTTATTTGAGACAGAGAGAATGAGATACAGAGAGCATGAGAGGGAGGAGGGTCAGAGGGAGAAGCAGACTCCCTGCCAAGCAGGGAGCCCGATGCGGGACTCGATCCCGGGACTCCAGGATCATGACCTGAGCCGAAGGCAGTCGCTTAACCAACTGAGCCACCCAGGCGCCCCGCCATGTTTATTATTTTTAAAAAATACATGTTATGTAGAATAAAAATTCTCCTTCATCTGCCCTCACCTCTCATGTCTCTTGTCCCCTATTTTTATTCCATAGAAGAAGCCAGCCATTGTAAATATTTGGGTGTGCAACTTCTGGGCTTTTTCCATGTATATACAAATAAATATTTAATATGTTTTTAAATATACAAATATATGCCAACACACACATATACTATCATGTAAAGGTAGATGCAGAACACACAGATATGTATAGACATATATTCTCCTTACTTAAAATTTGCCTTTTTCATTGACAAATACATTGTGGGTGTTTTCCAGTGTATTAGTATATATATCTAGTCTTACCTAATTTTTTTAACTGCTGTATAGTGTGACTCTGATTATATCATAGTTGCTTTTTTCTTTTTTAAAAGGATTTTATTTATTAGAGAGAGCACGAGCGGGTGGGAGGGTCAGAGGGTGGAAGAAGCAGACTCCCTGCTGAACAGGGAGCCTGTCGGGATCAATCCCAGGACCTTGGAATCACGACCTGAGCCACCAAGGTGCCCCTCATAGTTGCTTTCTATTAAATTATTTTTTTAAATTAAAAGAATAATGAATCACTTGGTAGAGAAAAAATTTCAGGGGCACCTGGGTGGGTCACCCTCCCCCACCATGGTCTTGCTTTTTCTCTCAAATAAATATAATCTTAGAAAAGAAAAAAAAGGAAAAATTTCACATCTAGAAGAGTACAAAATGAAAGGTAAAAGGTTCCCCTACTAAAGAGCTAAAAATGCTCTTAATAATTCTGATTTTAGATTTTAATTCTGCTAGTTGCTATTGTATTTTTATTTATTTTTATTTTTTTAAGGATTTTACTTTTAAGTAATCTCTACACCCAGCATGGGGCTTGAACACAGCTCCAAAATCAAGAGTCGCATGCTCTCCCAACGGAGCCAGCCAGGCACCCCAGTTACTATTACATTTATAAATGATTTACTTATGCCTCTGGTTCTTGCTGTGTTAGCTTTAAACAGTACCTATACTTACTATACAAAAGATGAATTTAGCACATTTACAAAGCTTTCCATTTCTCAAGGTATGACTATTTAGATTTTATTTATTTATTTGAGAGAGAGAGAATGAGAGAGAGAACATGAGAGGGGGGAGGGTCAGAGGGAGAAGCAGACTCCCTGCCGAGCAGGGAGCCCGACATGGGACTCCATCCAGGGACTCCAGGATCAAGACCTGAGCCAAAGGCAGTCACCCAACCAACTGAGCCACCCAGGCGCCCCCTTTTTTTTTTTGTAAGATTTTAAGGAATCTCCAAACCCAACATGGAGGTCGAACTTACAACCCTGAGGTCAAGAGTCCCATGCTCCACCGTCTGAGCCAGCCAGATAGAGATATCTTATTTGTGGGAATGTTGATGATGGTTTTTTAGTTATATTGGTAATTATCATAATTTCAAATGATATGTTCATTTTCTACTAAGTGATTTATCAATTTTTAGATTAGATATGGACTTACCTCTTTTTTTTAAAAAAAAGGAAATTAGCTTATTTTGCTTCTACCTCCCATTCACCTATTTTCTAATATTTTGTTACGTTGCTTTTAACTGGCAAGGGGACAACCGTGTATTTCACTCCTTGGGGAGATAAGGGATTAGTTTCCCATGAGCCTTTGATCACATTTTTGTCAACTGATAAATACTTAACCTTGTTTTATGAGTGTTTTTGTTTAAAGATACCTTATTTAGCATATGTTGCTGATTCATTAACATTGAACTCCGCCAACAGCATTAAAACTCATGCCTGAACAAAGCTTATCTAATACAGTATTTTCTCCGTAAGGCACATCATAGCCTTCTTGCTAAACTTAGAAACACTAGATTGTATTTCAGTACCACATTTGGGGACCATTTTAAACAGTGAAATCACCAACACAAAGCACAAAAATGCAAAAAGCAGGGTGGTAAATAGAGTGCAACACTTGTTATCAGTGTGAGAGCTCAAATAAGAAGGCAGAACCTCACCTTGTTTGACCTCAGCATGGAACATGTGGGTCAGATGACTCATTTTTTGCAGAGCTGCTCCAGGCATGTTCATGAGTGACCGTGAAAACCCCAAGTATTGGATTTTGGGGGTTACAAACAAATTTTAGTAAGCAGGCCAGTTTACAAATAAAGAATCTGCAAATGATGAGGATCGGCTATATCTACTTTCTCAGAGTTCCGTTTGTATACCTTGGTCTTTATTCTCATCATGCATCTTGGTGTCCTTGTGTGTTAGTCTTTTCTATCTTTTTGTGGTTATAAATAAGAGAGTAGTATTTATGGCTAGTAACCGGTATTGGTATTTCTTTCCTGTCAGGTGCTCTGTTTTCTTAGTAGCTCACTCTCTTACCTAGGGCTTGGCTGAGTTTTAGCTGAGTAGGTGGAGTGCGTTAGCAGAATTTCCTTGTAGGGAGTATAAACCAAGGGAACCAAGGGAACCAAGGGAACTGGCAGGCTGGGGTACCCCTGAATTGCAGGAGGACTTGATTTTGGGGATGGAGCACCTTAGTTTTTGTTTCCTCTTGTTCCTCTCTCTGCCAGTTTTAGAGTGCTAGTAAAGCTTTAGTAATAAAGAACTAACTTTTTTTTTTAAACCTTTTTTAAAAATTACTACATTCTGTTTTTAGCTTTATGAGGTTGGCAGATGACAAGGTCAGAGGTTAAACAAGGGATCATATTCATAGGGATATTACTTAATGTGGATGAGGGAGGCAAAGGAAATCAATGTTGGAATAATTAGGCATAGAAATAAAAATAATAATTTAACCTAGAGTTCACTCTCTTGTAACTTATCTTTTGCCTTTTTAAAAATGAAGTTGACCACAAATCTAGAAAAGAGAATGACGTGTGGGGAGTATACTTTTTGTACAAAGCACTTAAAATCCTTTTTTTTTTTTTTAAGATTTTATTTATTTATTTGACAGACAAGCGAGAGAGGGAATACAAGCAGGGGGAATGGGAGAGGGAGAAGCAGGTTTCCCGCCGAGCAGGGAGCCTGATGTGGGGCTCAATCCCAGGACCGTGGGATCATGACCTGAGCTGAAGGCAGATGCTTAACGACTGAGCCACCCAGGAGCCCTGCACTTAAAATCCTTTTGCCATGAATTGGTCACCGTAGGATTACTTTTTATTTCATAGTTAATGACCAAATCTTTCAGGAAGAAAAATTCTAAGACCTCTTGGTTGTCTTTTTTTTTTTTAATCTACTGAATGCTTGAAACCTTTTGGGAAAAGAGCTACTTTTTTTTTTAAAGATTTTTTATTTAGAGAGAGCACGTGAGAGATTGTGCACGAGCAGGGCAGGGACAGGGAGAAGGAGAGAGAGAATCTCAAGCAGACTCTGATGAGTGCAGAGCCCAACATGGGGGCTCTATCTCATGACCCAGGCCAAAATTATGAGTCGGTTGCTTAACCAACTGAGTTATCAGATGCCCCAAGAATTACTGTCTATTAGCAAAAGGATGGTATCATTTGTCCCCATGTTGAGCATTCTCAAGGACATACCCTCTCAAGGTGTGGCTGTTTCAGATGTATGGCAGGGATCTAGTCATGGTAGTGGCATGCTTATTTGTGGGTTGTAGAGCTACTTGATGCCAGGTTTTTCTAATTCTCTGAATTAGATGTATATTAACTTGATAGTTATGTAAAATAGTTTTCACTCTTCATTTCTAGCTCTCGTGCTCATTCCCCTATGATAGCTGTAGGAAGTGATGACAGTAGTCCAAATGCAATGGCCAAGGTTCAGATTTTCGAATATAATGAAAATACCAGGTTAGTACTGCTTTGGTTTTAATTATTGTTCCAGATTGCATTTAATTTTTAAAAATGTTATTTCTTCATTGGTTCATTGAATTATGCATGATTCATTACATTTACTAATTTCCTATGCTATGCCAAGTTCTGTGCGAGGCTCTGATAATATAAAATTAAATGGTATAGAGGAGAAGGTAACTGATTTTCTAGTATGTACCATCTCGCTGGGAAAAAAAACAAAAATGGTAAAAAGTGGTGATGAATTTTATAAACTGGGAGAATCAGGATGTTAAGGGTTTACTATACTTGGGTGGAGAGGGCCAGGAGTTTTCACTCCAGACAAGACTTAGAGGATGAGTAAAGGTTAGCCAAAGAGGGCAAAACGTTCCAGATCGAGAAAACTACATATGATAAGGTAAGTGAACAAGAGAGAACCTATATATATATATATATATATATTTTTTTTTAAAGATATTATTTATTTATGAGACAGAGACAGCGAGAGCAGGAACACAAGCCAGGGGGAGTAGGAGAGGGAGAAGCAGGCTTCCCGCTGAGCAGGGAGCCTGATGTGGGACTTGATCCCAGGACTCCGGGATCATGACCTGAGCCGAAGGCAGCTGCTTAACAACTGAGCCACCCAGGCGCCCTGAACCAATATATTTTTATTGTAGTTGAAATATAATAGGCAAAAAGGAGTGTGGTGAGAAATAAACAAAGCTTAGATCTGTAAGACCTAGTGTTCCATGTTTAGAAATTATTTTATGGGTAATGTGAAGCCACTGAAAGATTTTTAAGTTGGAGAATGATAGGCTTGGATGGTAGTTCAACTCTTCCATAGGTGTGGAACGTATTTTCGAGGGCAGCAGTCCAGGTGGGAGATTATAGCGGCTTTGGGATAGAGTAGTGGCAATGGGGATGGAGGGAAGTGGGCAATTGGAGAATAATTTAAGAAATGGTATCAATAGGATCTGATGACTGAATGTAGAAGGTGAAGAATGGGGGAGAAGCAGTTGAGATGATTTTCAAGCTTCAGGCTTAATAGTTCAATGGATGGAATGTAATTTCTTGAAATAAGGACATCTGGAAAGAAGACAGATTTGGGTAGAGTGTAGCACCACATGATGGAAAATTTATGTTGGGTCATGTTGAGATACCTGCAACACCTCTGAGAGCTGTAAAGAGGTGTACTCAGAGTCTTAGAGGACAGAAGAGCAACCATCAATTGATTAGGTGGGCTTCACATGTGCTAGACAACAATCTTGGGTCTAGGAGTCAGATATTAGGCAGGGCCAGAAGCAGAAGAGAAGAACTATAGTTGTCCCCCTTATTTGTAGGGGATATGTTCCAAGACCCCAGTGGCTGCCTGAAACCTAAAATAGTATCAAACTGTATATACTATATTTTTTTCTATACATACATACCTGTGATAAAGTTTTGAGTTAGGCAAAGTATGAGATTTATAATAGTAGCTAGTAATAACAGAAGAATTGCAATAATACATTTTAAATAAAAGTTATATGAACTTTCTCAAAATATCTTATTATGTTGTACTCACCCTTCTTCCTGTGATGATGTGAGATGATAACATGCCTACGTGATGAGATGTGAGGGGAGTGATGGAGGCATGTGACATAGTGTTAGGCTACTGCTGACCTGACCATACATCAGGAGGATCATCTTCTGGATGGCAGTTTGATCGTGGGTAACAAACCGTGGGAAGTAAGACTGGCTAAGGGGGGACCACTGTATTTTAATTCCTTGGGGCTCTGCAATTCAGAATGTTTTTGAGGGGTTCTTATTATCAGCCCTCTAACTTCCCAGATTCTTGATTTCTTCAGAGTCTCTGTACGCAGTGCTGTCCAGTAGAAATTGCTGTGCTGATGGAAATGCCCTGTGCCTGTGCCAGCTAATGTAGTGGCCACCAGCCACATGCAGCTGTGGAAGCTTAAAATGTGCTACTACAGCTGGACTGCATTTGTTCATTTTTATAAATTTAAATTTAAATTTTAGGCACATGTGGCTAGTGGCTGCAATATTGGCCAGCATAGTTCTAGATTATAGGAACCTTCCTCTAGAACTTTTTGTGGTTTTTGTAACCTTTTAAGCTATTAAAACTATCTACAACATTAATAGCACATTGTTTTTTTATAAACATTTTTTTTTTTTAAGATTTTATTTTTTTATTTGTCAGAGAGAGCACAAGCAGGAGGAGTGGCAGGCAGAGGGAGAAGTAGGCTCCCTGCTGAGCGGGGAGCCCGATGCAGGACTTGATCCCAGGACCCTGGGATCATGACCTGAGCTGAAGGCAGCTGCTTAACCAACTGAGCTATCCAGTCATCCCTAAACATTTTTTTTTTTTTTTAAGATTGTATTTAGTTATTCATGAGAGGCAGAGGGAGAAGCAGGCTCCCCATGGAGCAATGGAGCAGGGGAGCCCAATACGGGACGCGATCCTAGGACCCTGGGATCATGACCTGAGCCGAAGGCAGACACCTAACCAACTAAGCCACCCAGGTGCCCTATAAACATTCTGAAATTTTTAATCTAAATTGTTTTTTCATTAGGAAATATGCAAAAGCTGAAACCCTCATGACAGTCACAGATCCTGTACATGACATTGCCTTTGCTCCGAACTTGGGAAGATCTTTCCATATTCTAGCAATAGCAACCAAAGATGTGAGGATTTTTACATTAAAGCCTGTGAGGTGAGTTTTTGAAGCACTGACTAATTTAAAAATGCTCTTAACTCATGAATATTTTCATTTGTGGAGAAGAGTGATGAGGCAACTGTGATCTGAAGAATGGCTTCTTCATTGAACATTTTATCTATAAATATATGCATTTTGGGGTTGGGGAATTGAATAAAGACAGGAGACTTACATTTTCTTTCTTTTTTTTTTAGATTTTATTTATTTATTTGAGAGAGAGCACATGAGAGGGGGGAGGGTCAGAGGGTGAAGCAGACTCCCTGCTCAGCAGGGAGCCCGATGCGGGACTCGATCCCGGGACTCCAGGATCATGACCTGAGCCGAAGGCAGTCGCTTAACCAATTGAGCCACCCAGGCGCCCTTACGTTTTCTTAATGGCGTTTTCTTTAGGCTGATATGATGAATTGGATCCTCTGAATATAATTGGTACTCTGTAAATGTTTGAACAAACGAGAGGTGGTAGTTTACTTAGGGACAGTTAACTTAGCACTGAGACATTCTTGTGAATAACCTATTCAGGCTTTAATTTTGGAATTGTGAGTTTCAGTTCTTTTCCTTTTTTCCTTCCTTTCCCCCTTCTATTCTTCCCTTCCTACTGCTTTCCTTTTAAAATTAATTTATGTATTTTATTTCTCAATCTTGTTTGGGGGAATACAATCCTTTTGTTTTTCTTTTCTTTTCTTTTTTGAGAGAGACTGGGTGGGGGGGCCTGGAGGAGCAGAGGGAGAGGGGGAGAGAGAATCTTAAAGCAGGCTCCATGCCCAGCTCACAGTAGACACGGGGCTTGATCTTACAACCCTGAGATCATGACTAGAGTCAGACGCTTAACTGACTGAGCCACCCAGGTGCCCCTGTTGTTCCTTTCTTCCATGAAATAATCACTGAATAATTTTTATGTGGTAGGATTATGCCAGGTGCTGGGGAGTCAAATGAAAGTGACATGGCCCAGCTCTCAATGAATTAAGGTGGGGGGGGTGTGGGAAGGAAGGTGGTGGTTATGGATATGCACATTTTTATAAAATAATATGGTAAGTATGTGAGACCATTTGTATTTTTTAAATTAGAACTCTGTGTGTGTGTTTCTGTGTGTGTGTGTGTGTGTGTAAAATCTTTAATCAGCATTTCTCAGGAAGATTTTTTTATTAATAGGAAAGAACTTACTTCTTCTGGTGGGCCCACAAAATTTGAAATCCATATAGTGGCTCAGTTTGATAATCATAATTCCCAGGTCTGGCGAGTGAGTTGGAATATAACAGGAACAGTGCTAGCATCTTCAGGAGATGATGGCTGTGTAAGATTGTGGAAAGGTAAGATTTTAATGAAGGAATTGTTGCTCTGTGTTGCTATGTCAGAATTTTCACTTAGAAATGTAAATTCAGAAATATTTTGGAGAAAATTACCTTTCTACAGTTACTTTTACATTAATGTCTTAACATTAATTTGTGTTATTTTGAACCTCCATCAGTTTAGTTCATGGCAGTTATGACTGAATTGTTTGATTCCATGTGGAGCAACGCAATTTTTAAAACTAAAAGTTATTGTAACAATATGCGGTATCTCCAAAAGATACCGTTTGCTATATATGTAACTTTTGTGACTGCTCTAAAACTCAGGATAGGACTACAGACGTCTCATATTAAATAATTGCTTTAGCCAACCAGCCCTTAATAGGAGAAAATCCAGTATCTTCCCCACTTCCTCTCTGCAAGTCTCAGAAGTTGAATCTTCTGGCCACTGATTCTGAAAGTTTCTTGTAAGTGCCATGCTGGCTGAGAATTCAGTCTAGTAACTCGATGCTGACTGTGGTTCCTGCAGCATGGTCTGCATTTGTCCATGGACATTTATCCACTGGGCAGAGGTGTCCTTGGTCCTTGTACCACTCTAGTTGGTGGCATCCCACAGTTAGGATCCAGACTTACAACTTAGTTGGTGTACCCTGAGCAGTTACTGTTACTCTAAATGCAGTTTGGCTGAGTCTCCTGTAGTCAGTTTTAGCTGTGGTGGAACCAGCCCAGACTTCAATTTCCTCAATGTCATTTGGTATCAAGGGCTTTGCTTCCTTTTCATGCGCCTGGGCTTTAGGCAGGACCACCTAGTTCCACCCCAGCAGGCTCCCTAACTTGAGTTTCCTGGGCCCAGTGTCTCCAGTGATCTATTTGGCATTCAAAGAATTAGGCCATGTTGGGTAGGCCACTCAAACCCCAAAGGTTTATTACTTGCATCGATCTCTGAGGACATTAGGTACCCACATGACCTATACTTGCATAACTGAGAAGACAACTCCATTACCCTACATATGCATGTAATTGAAATTCATTATCATGAAGGCGAAGAATTTATTTTGATACTAATGTTAATGTGGTAAATTAGAGAATTGTCTTTATTAATAATTATCTTGTAAGGAAAGGGAATGGTAAAAATTTTGTTTTTTAAATTAATTCTTGTAAAACTTTACAAAATAATTGTTAAAATTGAGATATATGTCTTTCATTTTAAATATGTCTATAACCTATATCTTGAGAGAAATGTAGTCTTCTTTTTTTAATTGTACTAAAGGACTTGACCACAAATTTGTGCCCTTGAGCATAGCTATTAGTCATGTTAATGTATTTGACCATTTTCTTTTCAGCTAATTATATGGACAATTGGAAGTGTACTGGTATTTTGAAAGGTAATGGGAGCCCTGTCAATGGGAATTCTCAGCAGGGAAACTCAAATCCTTCCCTAGGTTCAAATATCCCAAATCTTCAAAATTCATTAAATGGATCTTCTTCTGGCAGGTAGGCTGTTTTGTGGGAAAACTAGAAATTACCTCCTTTTTAAGTCATTCTGGTAGCCATACTAAAGGTGTGTGATTTCATGGGTTTTAAGATTGAATGAAGAAATTCATACTTAAGTATATAGTAGAAAAAATTGACTTTGTTAGCACTGTATTTAGCTTACATGGTCATATTTATAGATAGATTGTTAAGCCCTTAAACTAAATTATATTCTGAAATATAGTGGTCTGTCAGAAATATAACTTTAAGATTTTACTTTGCTTCTAAAGTGAGATGAAGAGGAAATCTGGGATAATGCTGAGGATTTTAGTCCTAGATGAGCATAAGTATGTTAGTGGTAGTAGTGCAGCCTTTGAATCAGGTCAAGCTGAAATTTTAAACTGCATTAACTAAGGCTTCATAGAAGAGAGTGAGTTAGATGTGTTTTTTGTGTGTGTGTTTTAAAACTTTAATGGAGATTGTAAGAGGAAATGGTAAATTCTGATTTCTTGATTTTTTAGAATTTTTAACATATTTAAATTCTTGTTTATCTTAATAAACAATGTTTGATGTGATCTCAAGAGTCATCCTTTTGTTTTTATATTCAAATTTCAAATATGTGAATTTGTGAGATAAACTTATTTTAATATGCCTTTGTGAGTAATTTGGAATGCAATTCAGGAAACTTCAAAGCACAGCCTTAACAAATTGTCCTGTGGTTATCCTGTTGTCATCTTAAATAACAGAATTCTATTTAAAATTTCAACTATTTTTATATTGTTATATTTTTATATAAAAAAAAAGTCCTGCTGTTTAATTTTGAGGTTTAAGTATTTACATGAAAACAATTTCAGGTTACCACAGAAGATACCAGATTATAAAGACGATTTCATGAAACAGGATACTACTGTTAATTAAAAAAAAATCTGGTTTTTGGTTGCTGTCTGTACTGCATATATTGTAAACAGCTTTGAAGTTTTGATCTGTATTCTTATTGTGCCAATAACCATGTGTGTTAGATCTGTGATGCATTTTCCCTTCTCCATTTGTATTATGTCCTTTAACAGAAAGCACAGCTGAGTACCAGCTAACTGGAGTAACTTTGCTGTTTTGCTGCTTGTTGCATGCACACAGGAATGGAAAGCGAGCTCCTTTTCCCCTTCCCCAGCGCCGTTTGACCTCTCCCAAGATACACCAGCAGCCTGCTTACTACTAAACGCAATCCAAAAGGCCTTTAAAAATCCAGTGTATTTCATTTTTTTTGTACTAGCCAGTTTATTGACATTATTTGAAGCTTTTGAAATATAAATGGAGAGGCTTTTTGTTGAGACGTTGTCACCAAAACAATTTTTTGAAATGTTCCTGAAATTAACATGGGTTTTAAAATTAAAAGGATTGTTACTATCCTAATAAGTAGTTGGGAGGAGGGAAAATATCACTTTATTCCATTTGGAGAACATAGGCTTATTTCTTTTGTTTTCTAAACAGTAAGCTAAAATGATGAATTTTTATAATTTTAATTTGAAGGTTGAATAAATATTTTTCATAAAGATTGTTTTGAGTGCTAATTTGTTTACCTTTTGTAGAATTGGTTTACACATATTATTTAGTGCAACTCTGTCATTTCTTTGTAATATTTAAAAAATATTAGTAAAGGAGTGAGAGAAGTAGTAGTAAAATGAAAGTGATTTGACTGTACAGTTTGTGGCCAAATTAAACATTTGGTATTGCTTCATTTTATAATTTGGTAGTAAAATGAAGACATCTTTGTAAATTTTCAATTCATATTCACTAAAGAGCTTAACGTTTCTAATATGTGCTTGTATATTTTTTTATGGTATGATTCCATGGCTTAAATTTTTCTTCAAAATTTGGAAACCTACTGTAAGAGGAGCAGTTAAAAATTTGCTAAAATTGTGCATGCACATTAACCTCTACATTCCAAGTCTCAGGAATTTAATTTAGTTGGCTGCCTCATTTAGTTCATACTCTCTAGAACTTTGACCTTAATGATAAAGCTGTAAGTCTTTGCTAAAATGCTTAAGTATTACGGGTAAGTTACAAAATGGCAGAAGAATAACAACAGGACATACTCTTTGAGCTCTTTTACTTAACAAAATTTTGTACTATTTAAGGTTTTTGCAGAAAAGCACCTAAGTATTTTCAAAGGTCGTATTTCTTCAGAAGTATATTGCAGTAGCTGGCCATACTATATGACAGTATATTTGGATTGGTTCTCAGTGTCATGTATGCACTAAAAAACGTGTGCCTGCTGCTACTTCAAACGAAGCATTGCTTAAAATAAAGAAAAAGCTTATGAGATTTGTAAATTTACAGGATAGCATCAGATATGTTTCTGAAAGATTAGAAAATGTTTTAAATTATAAAATGTCTTTTTTTGTAACATTCATACTGGTAATTTTTTTTTTAACATTTTAAGTTTAACAGATTGTATTTCTTTCTTTCAAGTTTCTATACTTGCTTAAGCAAGCTTGATTTGAGTAAGGGTCTTGATTTTTGCAATTATGTTCTGTTAGTTTTGGCATGAATATACTAAAGCTTTTTTTTTCAGCATGTGTTTTCTCCTCTTTGGTTCTCTTTGTATTTACTACTTTTCTCTTTTTCTTCTGTTTTTTCTTTTTTTTTTTTCTCTGTTGTTTTTGTTTTGTTTTGGTGTTTTGTTCCTGTCTTCATTGTTTCAGGTATTTCTTTCCCCCTCTGGATTCCCCACGGGCTGGATCGAGATGGTCCAGTTATGCCCAGCTCCTTCCTCCTCCTCCTCCTCCTCTGGTAGAGCACTCTTGCGATGCTGACACTGCCAACCTCCAGTATCCTCACCCTCGCAGACGATCTCTCTCTCGGCCTCTTAATCCCTTACCTGAGAATGAAGGGGTTTAAAACACTGATTTAACACTTAAAGGCCTTATTCAAGTGCTTGTAAATGCTTTCATTCCTGGCTGCTTTTTGTTTTTCTTCATTTTCTTTTAGAAGATTTTTCTAATTTAGGGTCTGTCTTGCATGTATTAAAACCAGAACACAGTGTTTGGAACCTACATGTGTTTGTGCTTCTGCATCAAAGGAACATTTGCCTCACTGGTTGATAACCTTTGATGAAATGAGATAAGTACAAGTAACACAAACTGTGAGTTATAGTAGCTGATTTCAATTTCAAAGTGCCTATTCTATTAAGTTTTATTTTGAACTGTTACGATGTTAATTTTCTTATGGTTTGTCATTCTGGTTGATGTGAAAGGATTATCATAAAGTACACTTTGCCTTTGAGACATTAAGAAATGTTTTACATTTTACAGGCTAATGTTGGAACCAACTAGTTTGTAAAATAAATCATTCCTGTGTATAAAGCAGCAAAACATAATAATGGACTGTTGGGTCTTTTTTAAAAAAAAAAAAAGAAAAGAAATTGCCTTTTACTACTTGGAATTACTGTTTAAAGCTTTTGTAATTATTGTCCAAGTAGATTATTTAATAAAATATATTTTAAAAGATACGAATCTCTTGCCTTATGAAAACAGAATGTACAGCTGGCCCTTGAACAACATGGGTTTGAACTGCACTGGCCCACTTATACATAGGTTTTTTTTTTTTTTTCCCCTCTTCAATAAATGCAGTACAGTACTGTAAATGTAGTTTCTCTTCCTTATGATTTTCTTAATATTTTCTCAAGCATACTTTATTGTAAGAAAACATTATATAGTTTGTATAACATGCAAAATAGGTGTTAATTGATTTTAAAGTCTGGTAAAGCTTCTAGGCAACAATAGGCTCTTGGTTAAGTTTTTTGGGAGTCCAAGGTTAGACTCAAGGTTTTCAGCTATGTGGGTTCATTGGCACCCTAAGCCCTAGTTGTTCAAGAGTCAGCTATATTCTATTTGATAGATGGTAAAGCTTCTATCTCCCTATAATACTATGTTGCAAAAAAAAGAAAAAAACCCAAACAATTAAAAAATTAGGAGATGAGCATGACATTTATTTAAAAGGTAAAAAGTCAGTGTTTAGATTAACATCTATAACTGACAGATGTTGACTTCCGGTCTAGTTACACATTATATATTTTTTTTAATGATACTTTTAAAATTTGAAATCAGAAAATAATTGACAATAATTATGGTGATTAAAACTATGAGACTAGTAATATTCTTTTTAGTTCAGTTTTCTCAAGAATTGCCAAGGATTTAACTTTCTTTAGGACTAGAGAAGGTGTAATTTGAAAAGCATTTCATATGTGTCTCAGTTAATCGCATGTAGTTACAGTTGTTATAACCATGTAATTTGTAATCTAATTTTCAAAGATACCTTTCCTATGTATAGTGTCATACCCTTGAAACTTCTTAACATGCAAAGGATAAAGAGCTAATAAGAGATTAATTTTTTTGAGATTAATTTTAACTTAAGGAACATTTGAGTTTTGTTGTGACTAATTAAAATGTCTTGTCTATAAAGTTAGCATTTTAGCATTTCAATTTATGAAGAAGAATCTTTTCCAAATAATTCTCAAAGGTCTTCCTTCTGGTAAAGGACTTGTTTTACACTTGTTGGCTTATTTAGGTTCAAAGCAACAAGGGGTCTAACTTAAGGCTGAATCTAGTTCAGAATTAAAAATTCATGTCTTTGAGATTTCAATCATTATAGAGGTGCTTGGGGTTAGAATGGGATAATGAAATGAGACAGAGTCTCCAATTTAATGAATATTGAGCATCTTCTATGTGCCAGATACTATGCTAAACACTCTGGGATATGTAAGAAAAAGAAGAAAAAAAAAGAAAGGTAGTCTGCACAGAAAGTCATTCTAGTGGGAGAAGACTTGTACAGAATTTACAAAAGGTAACCAGGATTCAGTTTCATAATAAAGGTTGAAACAAAGTGATTTATTTGATCTGACCAGGTTTGGAAGCCATGTGGGATTTCAACAGGTAGAGTAGTTGAAGCAGAGGAGGGTAGGAGTTCCAAGGTGATGGCCCAGAGGTAAAAGAGGACAGGGATGTAATAAGGCAACAGGTAATAAGCATTAGTCTGATGTAAGAAGGTTCATTTGGGGAGCTGGTAGGAGATTAGAATCACACTTCGTGTGCGACTTTGTGTATCTGTGGCTTAGGTTCTCCACTTAAAGCAGTTGGTAAAGGAGAACTGTGGGAGATGATTGCCTTTTCTTAACTGGATAGACATCACTTCTAATTCCCTGGGAGGCATCCCTAGCCTTGGGACTTCTGCAAGACCTACCCAGTGTCCTGGGTGATGGACATTAAGGAGGGCACGTGATGTAATGAGCACTGGGTGTTATATAAGACTGATGAATCACTGAACTCTACCTCCGAAACTAATAATGCATTATATGTTAATTAATTGAATTGAATTTGAAAACAAAAAAAAGGATCTACCCAATGTCTAAGGAGATTTGAAATTCATTGGGAGTTCTGTGCCTCCTTTTTATTTGACAAGTTTTGATAACAGCTAATATTTGTTGAGTACATCCATGTGTCAGTGCTCTTCTAGATACTTTATGTGGATTAACGAATCCTCACAACAAACCTCTGAGGCAAGTGCTCTAAGTACGCCATTTTACATGTGAGGAGATTGGCAGGTTAAAGCTATTTGCCCAAGGCTGCACAGCTAGGAAGTGAGAGCCAGGATTGAGATTTTGGCAGGCTGGCATCAGCCTGTGCTCTCCTGCTTGCAGATACTTTGGATCCTTGTCATTAGAGTTCCACCTGGTTGCTGGGTGTTGTGGGAGAGCTTTGGCCACTTGATTTTTATGGAGGAAGGACATTTATTGAGTTGGGTATAAGGATATAGGGTGAATGAATACATTCCAGCAGTTTACCTCCAATGTATGCTCATGGTCTAGACAGAGAAGATACTTTGTGAAACAGGATTGCTCATTACACTCAAATAGCATCCTTTTAGTTCTAAAGCTAGTAGGTTTATTTTTCTGGATTCAGAAAACCTTGAGATTTTCTCCACTTATCTTTGTTCATTGAGTGTGGACAAAGGTAGAATAGGGGTAATTACAGTTTGCAAATGCCAAAGCTGGAGGGTTTCAAGAAAAAATGCCAAGAGAATTGTAGAGACATCAACCGAGTTTGATGGGAGGCTAGTCCTGATAAAATAAGTGTTAAAATAATACTCAGGACCAAACCAGATAATCATAGGATGAATGACGACAAGGTGTAAAAGTGGAGGTGGTTAAGGGTAGGAGAAACAGAATGGTCTTAAGGTGACAGAATCAAGGAAGGGTGAATTGGTTTTGGTTTTGGGTGGAAAGATGCAGCATTTCTAAAGGCAGGAACCAGTAGAGAAGGTATCCAGGAATGATAGTTGAGCAGTATTTTAGAGGACAGAAAAGTAAAGTGATCAAATAAACATGTCATTCCCCAACAGGCTAAAATTAGGAATAGGGACTGTTAAACTCAACTTTTTCATTTTCTCTATTCCCAAGTGTGCTGTTGCATCTTAAACATTAAATAACTTGCATGAATTAAGTTAGCTTTGGAAAAGAGGACTCTCTTTCAGACTGTATGGAGGAAGTTTTGAGATAAAGGAAAGTGAGAGGCACGAAATTGAATTACCTGTGGTTTCAGTAAAGTGGTTAAAGCACTGTGCTAAGCAGATGTCGGTGGTATTTGTGGCCTAAGGAGAACAGGAAAACGTGGGGAGTAATTAGGGATGAATTATGTCTCAGCTTTTTCCACCCCCAACCAGCCTTACTCCGTCACAAAGAGGCGATTTAGGAGTAGAGAACTATCATGAAGCTTGGATCCTGAGAAATGATTTCGTAATTGAAGCTTTATTGCAGTGTATAACATAAGGCAAATTATGACACATTTCAGCGTCTGCCAAGCAGTGGTAGAAAAGATCTGCATCTGCTCTTGTAAAGACAAAAAAAGTGACAAACAATACTAAACTCAGGGTAGTATCAGATGACTTGTTCACCGGAAATGTTGTATAAGGTAAATGACGATGTTTGGGGGTTCCAGACTGAATACGGTAAGCAGTTTTTTTTTTTTTTCCAGTTGGCCAAGGCTTTCATTGCGTTACCTTCGGTTCAGCTTTAGAGGGAAGGACTTTCGCAGTGCGCCCCACCCTTCCCAATACTGAGCTCCTCCTCTGGACCTGCGGAGCGCGGCTTCCTCGTTTCAAATTCAGGGACTAACCGTCCTCTTCCAATCATCGGCCTCCTGCCCGCCCCGTCCCTTGTCGCTATCCAATCCAAGGCCAGCTCCGAGTCCCCGCCCTGTTGCTCGTGCCGCGAACGGACGTAAACCCCAGGGGCGCGCTGTACGGCCAGTCCGGTGGCCGCGGGTGTGGGGGGCGCGCCTTGCGCACGCGCATTTGCAGAGCCACCGGGACGCCCCCTCCTCTGCATCTTTCTGACGAACTCTCGGCTCCCGCAGCTGGAGTCGCGGGCTTGGTGAGGAGGGGATTCCTGTGTCTTGACCGCGGTTCGGCAGGGGGCACGCGAACCCGCTTTCGGCAGGCTTTTCGGCTGCCGGGCGGATTGGGCAGTAGCGGTTGGGCCGGGGTTGGGCGCAGGGCGCAGGCTCCGGGCGGGGGGCTGCGGGGCGCTGCCTAGGGCCCGACGGCCTTGCTCCGTCCGCCCCTTCGTACTCAGCCCGACCGTCACGCAGAATTCCGCTCAGTGAGTTCAGTTGGGCGTCTCTGAGAGATTGACTTTTAAAGAAACAGGTTTTGATTTTGGGGATCACATCCTGGTATCCCCTCACCCTCTTCCACTTGGTGACTTCTAGGGACCAGCGCACTCTGCGCTTTGGTTTGGAGTTTCTTGTTGCAAAGCGCTCTTGACCGGGTGTTTGCTTCATGTGTGTTGTGGTAGGCGGTTCTGTTTCTCCTTTTTGTCCAAAAATGACCCGCGAAGTAACGTTGTTAACTAAATATAGAGGGGTCTGCTAGTGTCACCCGGTTATTCACTTTTTGTTTTGGTTTCTGTTAGGCCGCGTTCACATTTACTCCCAGTACCTTTCTTACATTTCTTATATCTCATTTCTTTATGGGGGGAAAAAAAACACACAAAAAAGCATGAATGAAGGCAATGTTTAATATCACTACACTTTTGATTTCTCTTAATTACAGACTTTGTTTACTAAAACATGAGGTCCCTTTTGAAGCAGTCGTTTGGAGAACAGATGTTTTTATGAAAGTATTTCCGTTTGCTGTTACCATATTGAGGTCATTCGACCGGAGTTTTTACTGCTCCAAAATCAGTTTTTTCAACGAATTTCAGTTTTGTGATCAAAGTTTACGGTAAGCTTTGAAAAGTAATATATTAAATGCATACCTAATTACAGATTTTTCTTAGAACACCAAGAGTAAATGATGAATGTTAGGGAAGCTTGACAGCATATGCTTTTGAATGTGTACGTGTAGGCTTCCAAATAATGACTACAGTAAATGATATTTTATATATCTAGAAATATAATTAAAGCAGGTAAATATTAGTAAGTTCAAATGTGAAAATTTGAGGTTACTGCTTTAAGGAAATAGCAAGAGAGATCCCAAAGATGGCTACTTAGTTCAGACACAGTAAAAGAAAAGGAAATGTTATATTCTCTTCACTTTAGGTGATGGAGGAGGGGTGGGTGGGCTATGCAATATTTAGGGAATTTTTCCTAGGAATGTGGTATGCCCATGGCTGGTTTAAACAAGTGTAATCCTTTTGGAAATGATAGATCAGGTATTGGATTACATCTCCAGGGATCTTCCACTGGCTTGTATTACCACTGCACCCATAGCCAAGCTCCATCCCAGGACTTAACACTGTCATAATTGATAGGGGTCATAATTGATTATAATTGATGAGGGTCATCCGCTCCGTGAAGGGGAGCTGCTTTATTTTTACATTTCCAGTGGTAAGTAGAATGTGTTTCATGGTTTGCGCTTGGTAATGATTGTTGCATGAATGATATTTGCTTAATATCTGAATTTTCTTGGATTTGACTCTAAATAGGGATAAATCTTTAAAGAATTTGGGATATATTTTAATGTGGTTTACATGTCTGTAAATTAATGAATAAACTTAGTGATTGGATGTGGGGAGGCTACTTGGAAGACTTATGTAATGGTTTAGATTAAAGTGATAAGGTGTTGGGAATATAGAAGTGAATCTCAGTTCCAGAGATCTGTTTGGAGTTAGAGGCATTAGAATTTGATAACTGTGAGACCAAGAGAAATGGTGCCAAGTGTCTGGCTTGTATAGCAAGAGAATAGGGATAACACAGGTCAAACTAAAGGTAATAGAATGGGTAGAGAAAAGATAATAAGTTTGGTTTTGTATTTGTTAACTTTGCACCACTTGAGAGAGTGTTAGGGGTGAACCATTTGGAAATGGGAGTCTGAAGCTCAGGATAGAGGTCTGAGCTGAGGTGATTGGAAAATGAGGAAGATGACATTAGTGCAAAGGAAAGACTACTCTGGGGCAGACTTGCCTGGCTCTGAATCCTCTGCTCCCACTTGTGCTTTGTGGCCTGGAAAATTCTCATAAGTCCCTCTCTTGGCCTCAGTTTCTTCAATAGTAGGGATAATAGCTACCTTGCAGATTTGATGCAGGGATTAGAGAAGTGTATATAAAATACTTAGTGCATTATTTGAAAATAGAGTAGACACCATATGTCAGCTAGATAGCGAGGGAGTAGAGATTATTTCTTTCAACTTGTTTTTTTGTTCAATTCGTATTTCCAGCTCTATATCAATTACTGGGACTGTATGGGTGAACAAGATTGAAATGTCCCCAAGATACTGATACTCTAAAGTCAAAGATGGTGGGACCCCTGGGGTGGCTCAGTCGGTTAAGTGTCTGCCTCTTGATCTCAGCTCAGATATTGATCTCAGGGTCATGAGTTCAAGCCCTACATTGGGCTCCACACTGGGCATGGAACCTACTTAAAAAAAAGAGAGTGAGAGAAATAAATCAAAGTCATTAATGTTTCCTTAAAAAAGTTAAAAAGTCAAAGATGTTGTTATTCACTCATTTCATAAATATTTCATAAATATGTGTTAGGCATTATTATAGGTGTTAGGTAAGAGTGATGGAAAGATTGGCAAGGCCTGTGCTCTCAGGGAGCAATCTTTTTAGTGGGGGAAGAGAAATACAAAAATAGTGATAGGTGCTGGAAGAAATTTAAAAAATTGTGAGAGACTGTGGGGCTACATTTGATTAATGATGAGGAATCACCTCTCTTACAAGATGACATTTAAACTAAGGTGAATGCTAGGAAGGAGCCAGCTGGTGCAGAGATGTAGCGAGTACTCTAGGCCCCCAAGGTAGGGATGGGGCTTGGATGTTACAGGAACAGAGACACCAGTGTATGGTGAGTCATGAGCCTCAGGGGTGGAGGATGGGGTGGCTCCCTGAAGTTTTCAATAGGGGCGTGGTACCTGGTTTGTATTTAATGGTCCATTTGGTTGCCCTGTGGATATTTAACTGTAGGGTGGCAAGAATAGAAGCATGGAGACTGGTTGGGAGGCTTTTCAGTACGGTAGGGTGGTGATAGCAGACATAAAAAGATGTGGAATGATTTAGGGTGTGTTTGGGATATAGACCTGTTTTGCCCTTGGGAATGGGCTCCACCAGTAGATCTGTTTTATTTGTCAACAGTGTTTCTTACTGAATTGAAATGTGTTCACCTTGGGGTCTGTAACTTCTAGTTGATCTCAGCTTACAGTCCTGTTGTCTGACAGTATTAGTGCCTAGAAGCATTTGAGTTTGAGATCCCTACCTAAGAGTATAAGATGTACATTGCATGACAGAAGATCTGAGATCAGAATCCTGGGTATTCCTACCATGTAAGGAATAGATAGAGGAAGAAGATGTCATGTGAGCTATAGAAGTTATGATTTGGATTCTTCTAAGACACTTGGCTGTGAAGGGGAGGTAAGAAGGTGGTGGCGGGAAGCGCACATGAGGGATGGGAACAGATTTCCTACCTCCTCCATCCTAATATGGGATCGTTTTGAACATGTTTATAGAAATCAAGAAAAGCAAATAAAAATAGAAAAGAAAGGAAAATGCTGGGGCATGATCTGAGAGAAGGGTGCTTGTATGATAGTTGGTGCTAAATTTGCTATGTATTGACATAGTTTGAAGACATTCATTTATTCAACCAATTTATAGAGGATCTACTCTGGGCAAGGCGCTGCTTTAGGTAAAAATTCAGGGGTAAAATAGGCCAAGTCCCTGCCCTCATGGAACTTACATTCTAATTTGTAGAAAAAACAGTTAAATAGGTGAATTATATAGCATGCTGGATGGTGGTCAGCACCACAGAAAAAAGAAAGAAGGGCAAGGAAATTGGAGTTGATGAGGAAAGTTGGTGAGGGAGACCAGCCAGGTAAGAGGACTTTTACCAAAATCCTGAAAAAAGTGGAAGAGTAAGATGTGAAGTTATCTGGGGCATCAGTGTATTGGACAGAGGTTAGAGCCAGGGCCCAGTCCCTGAGCCCGGAGCCCTGGCAAGTTGTGGGGACAGCAGAGGTTAGGACAGTGAGGAGGGAGCAAGCAAGGGAGAAGAGTAGTAGAGAGTGAGACCAGATTATTCAGCCCCTTGTTGGCCATTTTAAGTATTAACTTTTAGTCTGAATGAGATGGGAAACCAGTGGAGGGTTTTGAGCTAAGGAGTGACAGTATTTGACTTAATGGGGATAATTTCAATGTGTGGAGAATAGGCTAGGGGAGGAAGAGTGGAGGTGTGGAGATAGTTGAAAGTATCTTGTAGTGAGTATCCAGGCAGGAGGTGGTGGCGGCTTGACCAAGGTGACAGCAGTGGAAGCAGTGAGAAAATGACAGGTTCTGGTTATATTGTTAGATAAAGACATAGGGATTTGCCTAGGGATTGCTTTTAAGGTGTGTGTGTGTGTGTGTGTGTGTTGGGGGTGGTGGTGAGTAATCACTTGAGGTTTTTGGTTTGAGCAGCTAGAGAATGGAGTTGTCATTTTCTCTGTGGGGAAGACTGAAAAGCAGGCTTTCTTGAGGGGGTTGGAAGGCGATGGAATCAAAATTCAGGTTTAGGTGCCTGTTAGATAAACTAAGTGGAAATGTCTAGTAGGTAGTTGCATATCTGAGGTTCAGGAGAAAGGCCCAGGCTGGAGATATAAATTTCATATTGTATTTAAAACTCTGAAACTGAGGGCAGTCACCCAGAGAGAGTGGGTAGGTGGAAGGGATCCAGGAGCAAGCCCTGATGCCTTCACAGTGTGGAGGTCCAGGAGATAAGGAGGAACCAGCCAAGGAGAAGGAAAAGAAGCAGATGGTGAGGTTGGAGAACCCAGACAGCTGTGTCTTGGAAACCAGTGAAGAAAGGATTTCTTAGAGGAAGGAGTACAATTCCCATATTGTTAGGTCAAGGAAGACGGGACTGAAAATTGACTGTGGGGCTGTGGGGTTTGGCAACAGGGAGCTCAGTGGTGATTGACAAGTGTTTTGATGGGGTGGTGGGACAAGAGCCAGCTTAGCATGGGTCCAGGAGATGACAGGAGTGGAATCACATGCCAGTAGTGATTCCTTTTGGAGGAGCGTGTGGTAAAGGGAGGGCAGATAGAAGCAGTACCGCTACAGGGGGACAACAGGGTATGAGATAGGGGAAGACTTTTTTAAAAGATGAGGAACTAACAGCATGCTGGTGGGAATGGCTGCCCAGAGAAGATTTGATGACGGTTAGGAGGAGAGCGGTTGCTGGAGTGGTTGTCACTGCATTAGTGACAAGGGTGGGATCAAGTGCAGGTAGAGAGGTGAGCTTCCCACAGGAGCCTGGATACTTCACAGTCAAATAAGTTTTATAGCTCTCTAAAGGTCTTAAACATTTTCAACTTTATAGAGTAATTAAGTTAGCCCATTCCCCCTAAAACCTATACTTGAGTGCATTTGTCATTGGCCCCAGCATAGTCCATCATTGTCCTCTATCTCACTAGTTGTGGTAGCTCTTTCAATATCCTGTCAGGTGTTAAGCCCTCTCCCTTCCTCTGCCAAGATCAGTGCTTCCCTGGACTGCAGAATACTGTTCATACTTCCTAATACACCTTTTAAGGCTTTTAGAATCAGACTCCATGGTTTCATTCACCATGTTTTTTTGTACACCGATTGCCAAAATACATTGAAGCACTTGGCTATTGCCACCACACACTTAGTACTTAGAGTGGATTTTGGAGTCAGACCTAGGTTTGAATTTTATTAATTGTGCAACCCTGGGTAAATTTAGCTAATTCTCAGTTTGTTTCTTCATAAAATGGGATGAATGAGTTAAGGTCATGGGTATGCAGTAAATCTTACTTCTCTTTCTCCTTTGCTCATGTTTATTTGTCATCTTTAAGAGCCCCCTCATGTCATACTTGGCCTATAAAAGTTCTACTAATTTTTCAAGGCACAGGGCCAGTACTTTCTCATTTATTGAGCCTTTCGTGATTTAATTTTTTTTACTGAATTCCATATAACCCTTACATGATAAACACTGAAATAATTTTGAGATTACATCTCCTAAGTACTGTAACCAGGGTTAAGTAGAACCAGTGGCCAATGTGGGCTGGAAGATCTCTCAGTAATACAGATTCTGTGCCAGTGTTGTCCAGAGTTAGTCCTTTGTGTACCACTTTCACCATTTTTGCCTTGTCCATGTGCCGGCTGTACTTGATTTAACTTAAAATTTTCCTTCAATGGACTTCCTTTTTAAACTAACATTTACTCATCCTTAAGAATAATTTCTGAAATCAGGGGCTAGATTTTGCTGGGTTAATTTTTTTTTTCTAGTCCATGTTAGGATGAGCACCTAACCAGTAGACTTTTAAGTACATCTGAGATCATCTGTATATTCCTTCAGTGTTGGGTCTTTGCTTCTTTACTAGATAAGTGTGGCAATTGATAGTCTTTGCTATAGTAAACCAAGAGTAAATTAAGCTGTGTTGTATTTTGTTATTATGTTAATTATAAAAAGGAAATTTGACATTTGTAGTCTCAGCTGTGAAGTAGCAAAGTATTCTGAGAATTACTTTACCTCCAAATGCTTGTTGATTTTATCCCCTTTGTGCTGTTCCAAGAACATGATTTTTCCCTAAGATTTATCAGTTTTCTAAGATTTATGAGACTTTTAATCACTTGAGAAGGTTTTATAGTAATACATGATTTTTAAAAAAACTTTTATTGTTGCAGTGAGATGGAAGATTTCCGAGGAATAGCTGAAGAGTCATTTCCAAGCTTTTTAACCAATTCATTACTTGGTAATAGTGAGATTTTGAAAAATGTCACTCTTTCTTCAAATCTTGGCTTGCCTGTTGCTGTTTCAACACTTGCTAGAAATAGATCCAGTGCTGACAACAGGTAAGAACTGTTAGAACACAGGATTTTTTTGTAAGGTCTAGAAAGCCTGCAATACCTTGATACTTTTGTAAAAATTTCTCCGCCAAGGGGCACCTGGATGACTCAGTCGGTTAAGCGTCCCAACTCTTGGTTTCGGCTCAGGTCATGATCTCAGATCCTGGGATTGAGCCCTGAGTTGGGCTCTGCGCCCTGCAGGGAGTTGGCTTGGGGATTCTCTCCCTCTACCCCTCACCTGTATGCTTGTGTGGGTACACGTCTGTGCGCGCTCTCTCTCTCTCTCAAATAAATTAAAAAAAAAATACTAAAAAATTTCTCAGCCAAGCTTGAGCTTTTGCTTTATGTATATTTATATATGTAATATAATATGTATGTTATATATAAATATGTGATATATGTGTATGTGAGTATTATATATATTTATATGTATATATAATTGTTATAAAAAATTTACGCATTTCCCTATTCCATTGCCTTAATCAGTAGTGGGTAGGTGGATTTGGAACTGAGTACCAGTGACTTTTTGGTCTACTAATTGTTTTCTCTATTCATAGTGTTTTGGATTTGTATTAGTTCAGCCTTACTGGCAGCTAGTAATTTGAGTTGTATCTCCATATGTGATGTGAACAGTTCATCTATCTTGTATGATATGTAAAGTTTCCCCATACTTAAATATCTAACTACTTTCCTGTCCTCCCAACCTGAACATTTGGTAAGAAGCATTATCTTTACCTTTGGAATGAAGGGGTTAACTCTAAAAACTTTTAGCTTTAAGATTTCTGTGACTCTTTGTTTAATACATACACACCTCATTCCTGATACATAGGTTTTCAGTGCTTTGCACATGAAAATGGTTTTGAACACTGGGGGCCCCATTTGTTTTTATCCCCTAGCACTTGGTTTTATAGTCACGTGGCTCTAATGTCATGGTGAATTTTAAATATGCATAATTTAACTATTAACAAATTTTTTTTATGTAGGTATTCTGATATCCAGGCATCTTATTTAGTAGAAGGGAAGTTTTCAGTTCCATCTGAATCATCTCCCAGTAGCCAGAGTGAAGCTGACCCAAGAGAGAAGTTACAGCTTAGCTTCCAGGATGATGAGTAAGTTCATACCTTCATTTTGTTTTTGCCATATTAAAAGCAGGTCTCACTCAGTCTTGTGGAAAATGAAAGAGTGACTGTGTCTCTAAATAATTCTAAGAATCTTTTTAAAAGAGTTTTCTTTATGTTTTTAATCACAACCATTTTTAGTGCTTTCACAATACCTTTTCTCATTCCAGAAGTAACATAAGCTCATTTTAAAAAGTATCAAATACAGAAAAATTACAAGGCAGATAATAAGTCTGTAGTCTTACTAACTAGAGAACAGTCATTGGGGCACCTGGCTGGCTCAGTCTGTAGAGCATGCAACCCTTGATCTCAGAGTTTTAAGGTTGAACCCCACAGTGGGTGGAGAGATTACTTAAAAATTACTCATAAAAATAATATCTTAAAAAAAAATAAAAGAATAATCATTGATTATCTATTTATAGTCTTCCAGACTGCTTTTTTTTTTTTTTTAAAGATTTTATTTATTTATTTGAGAGAGCGAGCAGGGGGAGGGGCAGAGGGACAAGCCGACTCCCTGCTAAGTGCCAAGACTGACATGGACCTTGATCCCAGGACCCTGAGATCATGACCTGAGCGGGAAGGCAGACACTTAACTGACTGAACCATCCAGGAGCCCCTTCCAGACTGCTATCTATGCACCTATACATGTACATATTAAGTTTTTTTACAAATATGGGATTGAGCCGTACATACTATTTATAACTTTTAAAAATTAGTGTATTATGCTCATCTTTCAATTATAATTAATATAGATATGTGTCGTGTTAATGACTGCACTACATTAGACATTTAGATTATTGGAATTTTGCTATTATAAATTTACTGAATTTTATTTATACGTTTGCACACCTAGCAGATTATTCAGATAAATTCTAGGATTGACATTGCTGAGTTAATATTTAAAGACTGTTACAAAGCACCACATTGCTCTTTAGAAGATTTGTACCACTTTACACTTCCACTAGAAGATGTACATGAGAATGCCTACTTCTCTGAGCCCTCCCCAGCATTTGGTGGTATTATTTTTAATCCTTGATTTTAGAAGTAAAAAAATTTGTACACATGCATAAATGCATAGAAGAAAATCTGGAAGGCTATAAACCAAAATGTAAATGGTAGTTCTCTCTTGATGGTGGTATTACAGGCATTCTTAAAGTTTTCTGTGTTTGAATTTATAATAGAGTATTTATGGAATTGAGCATACTTTAATGTTTATTCATTACTTATATTTTTGTTGTGAATTGCCTCTTGGTAACATTTCGATATAAGCACTTTCTATATATTAAAGATGTTAACTCTTTGAATACTTATTCATTCCGTGTGTATTTTTGACCGCGTGCCTCCTGTGTGCCAGGTACTTCTCTAAGTACTTGGGAAATACCAGAACAGACATTAAAACAAAAAGACATTAAAAATATACCAGTTTTAGGGATGCCTGGGTGGCTCAGTCATTAAACGTCTGTCTTCAGCTCAGGTCATGATCCCAGGGTCCTGGGATTGAGCCCCGCATCGGGCTCCCTGCTCGGCGGGAAGCCTGCTTCTCTCTCTCCCACTCCCCCTGCTTGTATTCCCTCTCTTCCTGTGTCTCTCTCTGTCAAAAAATAAATAAAATCTTAAAAAAATATCAGTTTTATAGTATATTTGAAGGGAAAAGTGCTAGAAAAAAACCAACATGATAAGGAGGGTAAATGGGTAAGCTGAAGGGAACGGTCAGTGTGGGTCTCATTGAGGAGGTATAAGATCTGAGTGAAGACTTGAAGGAGGCCGTTAGCCATGTACATTAGGAGGAAGAGGATTTCAGGTGGAGGCTGCACGAGTGTAAAGGCACTGAGGTTGGAGCATACCTATGTTCAAACAGCAGGAAGGAGGCTGCCACAGGGTGAGCCTGATTTTGAGAGAGGTGGAAGCCATTAGAGGGTTACGTTTTAAAAGTTTCACTCTGGCTACAATGGAGTGAATAGACTGTTGGGAGGCAAGTCTGGAAGTAGGAAGACCCCTTAGGAGGTTGGATTATCAAAGGGGTAAGGTAGATGGAGAATAGAAGAGCACCAGGGCCTCATGTCGGGACACTTCAGTGTTAAGTTGGGGAGAGGAGGAATAGACATGGAGACTAAGGTTTAGTGGCTGGAGGTAGGAAGACAACAGTGTCTCAGAAGCCACATAAAGAACATATGTAAAAGAACAGAGAGGGATCCAATTGTGTCAAATAAAATGAGGACTAAGAAGTGACCATTGGAATTAGCGTAGGTTAGGTCGTTGGTAACCCTGACAAGTGGTTTTGGTGGAAGTAGGAGGAGGCACAATAGTGTAGGAGAGTGAGTTTAGGAGAGAATGGGAGGTTAGTTTTGGAGATGGTGAGTTTGCTGCAAAAGGCAACCAAGAAATGGGGCTGTGATACTTGCTGAGTATAGTGGATCAAGAGAAGTTTTTCTTTTTTCCTTTGTGGAGGGATAGGTTGCTGCAAGTTTATGTGGTAATAGGAATGATCTGAAATAGGAAAGTCTGATTATGTAGAAAGAAGAGAATTGCTAGAGCAAAACCTTTACAAAAATAAGAGGCCAGGATCTAATGTGTCGTGGAAGGAGTGACTAGAGAGGTAGGACCGTGGATAACTCCTTTGTATTAACCGGTGGGAAGGCAGAATGTGTGGGTACATGTGGTGGTAAGAATCTGTGGAAGTTGTCTTTTCCGTGCTTAGGGTCTCTCAGAGCGGTAGGAGGCATGACATCAACTCAGGGTAGAGGAGCAGTAGAGAGATGTAACAGTCATGGGAGTGTGGGAGAGTGAACAGAGAGGGAAATAGTGCCATTGTCCGACAGCATCCGGAGTCCCACTCGAGGGTCATGGTCATGAATTTACTGTGATTGTGATGTTTTCTCCAACCACATTCAGCTGTAGGGGTGCTAGCAAGATGTGAGGGGAGAGTTGGGTTTAACTAGGCTTGTAGTCTGATGAAAGTAGTGAGGGATAAGGAAGTTGAGGGTGTGTTATGTTTGGCCATGGGATTTAGGTTAAGGAAGAGGAGAGGATAGCAGAAGGGTGAGGGAGTGTGAGATGTGGTGATATGAGTGGTTTGGAGGCTTGGGTTGCATCAAAGGATTATAGAGTTGAGGTACTAAGGAAGATGCCATGAGGGGTCATAGGTGACTCCAGGCTAGAAGGCTTTATTGAGGATGATCTGGAAGTTGTACTGAGGGGACATACTGATGGAGACACACATTCCATCTCCATGCCCAATGATTCCAAGGCTGTGGGAGAGACTGATAGTCCTCATTTGCCAGTGTTTAAGGGAGGCAGTATCTTCACAGGACATCCAGGTTTTCCCTAAAGCGGTGAGGTAAAAGGGATGTTCATAGGAAGGGTTCAGAAATAGCAAGATTTTGTTGATCCAGGGTTGGTTTGTTGGGCTGGGTAGGGGGAATGTGCTTGTGGATCTTCAAATGTCAGGAGTAAGGAGTCCTGGGCTTATTGAAGGGCATCATGAAGTTAGTCCCATTGAACTGATGTTGGCAATGAGACATTAGACATGGGGGGAGGGGAGGAGAATATCAGAAGTAACCTCTTGACTCTTTGATGTGGGCCAGAACGTCTGGGAAGTGGTCTTGTCAGTCCTGTTAATGGAAGACAGACAACCTGGTAAGGCGTAGTCCTAGATGCAGTGTACTGGCCTCACTCTAGACTTTCATTGGGTAGAGGTGAGTGCTTTGGGGCTATTCCTTGCTTCCATTGAGTAGTCTGAAGATCTGGGTTGTTAGTCTGAGAGCCTGGACTTCCTGTGGCTGCTTGTGATGGTGGGTGCACAGCCTGCAGAGGCATGCTCTTATCCCCATGTGGAGGACGGCTTCTGTGGCTCCTGGGGGAGGGTGGAATTTATGTTTTGAAAATATCCTTATTCTAGCTTCGGAATTAATGAATTATTTTAGCTGAGGATAGGATTTAAAGATAAAAATAACTTTCACAAAATTTTGAAGGCATTGCTACATAGTGTGTGAAGCCTGATGTCATTTTGATACTTGACCATTTGTATCTGAACTTTTTTCTCTCTGGAAACTTAGAATCCTCCGAGTCCTTGGTGGGTGCTCCCCGCCACTCCCAACTGAATTCTAATTGGCATCAATCCAGAGATTTGTGTGCTTTAGTTCTAGATAATTATTATTACTTCAGTAATTTTCTGTTTTTCTTTCTTTCTGGGACTATGTTTTGGATTGCCTGAGTTGATCTATTTCCACTATTTTTTTTTCCTTTTCCTTTTTTGTTTTTGTTTTTCTTTTGTTTCAGTGCAAATAGACAATGTTCTAGATAAAATTCCTAATTTTTTCCCTACCCTTCTATTAAATCATTTGGCAGTCATAATTTTGAGAGCTCTTTTTTCTGGTCTTTCATTTTTTTATAATGGTTTCTTTTTGTGGATATAATAGCTACTTCAATGTTTCCTGAGAATTTTAATGGAGATTTTTCAAAGTTCTATAAATTATCCTTGTCTCTGGGGTTGTTTACTTTGTTCATCTTTATTTTTATCTCTCAAGCTGTTCCTTCTCCTGCATCTGATTTATGGCTGTCTTCTAGGTTGCTAGTGTGGGCTAGTGGGTATCCAGACCTCATTTCTGTTAGCTCTTCATGTGAGTTGGGCAGTACTCACGGCCAGCTTCACTTTACAGGTTCCATGCCGGGTGTTTAACACTGCTGTCACCACCATAACTTCATTGTGCACAGGCGTTTCATATGCCTTTTCTGGAGAAGAACCTTCCTAGGTGTGCAGCGTCATGTTGACACTGCTGTTTTGTTTGCGTGGGTTGCGGAGCGGGAGTGGAGCACTGCCCAGCGAGGGCAGCTGATAGACTTTCAGTCATCCCCTCCCTTTGGACTCCCTCTGGACTCCCTCCTGCCCTCCTTCCTACTGTAGTCAGGAAGCATTTCTGCAGTTATTCCTGGCAGATTTGTTTTCTGCTTCCAGGCCCTTTTGTTCTTGTCTGGACCATGCTTTCGTTTTTCCTGCATACCCTGTCTGCTTTTCAGATTCTAGAATCTGAGGTAAGCTTGGGTTAGGACTGGTGGCTCTCATCCAGATTGCTTCACTTTTATAGATGTCCTTATTGTCATTTTCATGCAGTTCGAGAAGTTACGCTTGCCACTTTTACTTGAAGTTTATTTAACTTAATATTTGACTTAGTTTGAAGAATTTTGACGGGCTAAACAAGTGATAGCTATAGTTTTGAGGAAGTGGATTTAGGGGGAGGTGGTTAATTTAATTGGCTCTGTTATCATAAAGTTCTAATGGTTACACTACAGTTGACCCTTGAACTGCATGGGTCCACTTACATGCAGATTTGTTTCGGTAAATACATAGTACTGTAAATGTATTTTCTCTTCCTTGTGATTTTCTTAATAACATTTTCTTTCCTCTAGCTTTATTATAAGAATACAGTATATAGTACATATACAAAGTGTGTGTTAATTGACTGTGTATGTTATTTGTAAGGCTTCCAGTCAACAGTAGTTCAATTAAGTAAAGTTATTGGGGAGTCAGAAGTTAGACATAGATTTCCAATTATGCAGGAGGTCAGTGCCCCTAACCCCCATCTTGTTCAAGGGTAAAGTGCACATGTTCTTCTTGGAGTGGGGGGCTTTGAAATATGAACCTAAATGTCATGATTTCTTTTTTATTTATTTCATGTCACCATTTTGCCTCCCCACCACCTTTTTTTTTTTTTTTAATGTGTCACCTAAGGACCTTTACTGTCTTTCTTTTCTCTTTCATTTTCTCATTTATTTGAAATATAATTGACATATAACATTAGTTTCAGTTGTGCAGTGTAATGATTTGATATTTGTATATATTGTGAAATGATCACCACAATAAATCTAGTTAATATCTGTCACCTTACATAGTTACAGAATTTTTTTTTCTTGTGATGAGAACTTTTAAGATTTACTCTCTTAGCAACTTTCAAATATGCAATACAGTGTTATTACGTGTAGCCACCATGCTATACATTATATCCCCATGACGTACTTATTTTATATCTGGAAGTTTGTACCTTTTTACCCCCTTCCCCCTTTTCTCCTGCCCCTGATCCCCTACCTCTGGGAACCATTAATCTATTTTCTGTATCTATGAGCTTAGTTTTTTTGTTCTTATTTTTAGATTCTGCGTATGAATGAGATTATGGGGTATTTGTCTCTCTGTCTTACTGTAATGCCCTTAAAGTCCATCCATGTTATTGCAAATGACAAGATTTCCTTCTCTTTTTTATGGCTGAATAATATCCCATTGTGTTATATATATACAAAATTTTTTTTATTCATCTTTCAGACACTTAGGTTGCTTCCATCTTGGCTATTGTAAATAATGCTGCAGTGAACATGGGGGTGCCATGTATCTTTTTGAGTTAGGGCTTTAGTTTTCTTTGGATAAATACCCTGACGTGGGATTGCTGGATCATATGGTAGTTCTATTTTTAATTTTTGAAGAACCTCCTTACTATTTTCCATAGTGACTGCATCAATTTACATTCCCAGTTCACATCCCAGCACTGCACATCCTCACCAACACTTGTTATTTCTTGTCTTTTTTCTAATTTATTTTAATTTATTTTTTTAAAGATTTTATATATTTGTCAGAGAGAGAGTGTGTGCACACAAGCAGGGGGAGCGGCAGGAAGAGGGAGGAGTAGACTTCCCGCCGAGCAGGGAGCCCAATGCAGGGCTTGATCCCAGGACTCTGGGATCATGATCTGAGCCTAAGGCAGGCGCTTCACTGAGCCACCCAAGCATCCCTCTTCTCTTTTTTATAGTAGTTATTATAACAGGTGTTAGGTGATGTCTCGTTGTGGTTCTGATTTGCCTTTCCCTGATGATTAGTGACATTGAACATCTTTTCATGTACCTATTGATCATCTGTATGTCATTGGAAGAATGTTCAGCTTGCCCATTTTTTAATCATACTGTTTGCTTGTTTGCTTTTTGTTTTTGTTTTTGCTCTTGAGTTGTAGGAGTTCTTTGTGTATTTTGGATATTAACCCTTTATCAGATATGATTTGCAGATATTTTCTCCCATCTGTAGACTGCCTTTTCATTTTGTCAGTTTCCTTTGTTGTGCACACCCCCACTCCTCTTTTCTCTCTCTTCTGTCATACAACTTTGTATCCACTTACAGTCTACCCTATAGTCTGTATCCACCTACCTCTACCCTCTCTTTTATTTTGCTTCTGTTTGGGATGAAACTTTCCTATATCTACCTATAAATGCACCTTTGGATTGAGCTGATGGTAAACAGCTTTCTATGTATTACAGCCCCAATACAGAGATGGAGAAACTGGGAGGTAAATTAAGACTTGGGAGTTGCCTCAGGCACAGAGGGTTAGCACTTGGAATATATGGAAGGATTATCTTCTTTTCATCCATCCTGGTCAGATTTAAATCTATCCCTAGATTATCAGTTTGCCAGATGATGAATTTAATTGTGTTTAGAGGCCTTTTTCTAAAAAGTTCACCCCTCTCTTGCTGGCAGAAGGCTGTGGTGAGTTGCATCAGACCCAGGAGCTTTTGCAGAAGATTGGGAGGAAAATGGCCTTTAAGGAAAAACATTGTCATACAAATATAAAACAACAGAGCTACAAAGATGGGGACAAGGCCAGTGGCAGGGGCTAAAAGTAAAACTTTCAAAGCATTTCATAATTCAGAGAATCAGCTTTTTGGCAAATATACTAGTATCCTTTAAGTCTGTTTTGTTTTTAGAAAGCTGAGTTTTTCTCCACATATGATAGATTCAGAGATACTTATTTGGAAAAGAAAAAAACCATCATTTTATCACTTAAGAGGCAGAATAGCAATATGATACTGTATTTGATTTTGGTAGACTGTGTATCTCTGGACCCAAAATGATGTGCAGTCCCCAGGGTACCTATGGTGGAGCCAATTACAGTTTCTGGCTGGTCCTAGAAATTTTTCTTCTCACTGTATCCATTTTTTTTTTCTTTTTGGGAGATTAAATACATAACTGATTAATGAATATTTAATGATTTACCCAGGTAACTAACATTTAGTCATTATTCTGTTCCCACATGAAAAGTTCTATCTCTAAGAAAAAGAATATAGAAAGTCAGCATTTGTCAATTGCTGTTCTTGAAGAGTCTACTTTGCAAAGTGATATGGCAAGAACAGAAGAGGAGCAAGCTAAAACTGCAAAACCCTTTCAGAGCCAAGATCCTGTTGATAGGATTTCACCACTGGAACAAATGCAAGGTACTGAACTTTCAGAAATTACTTTCTAATGTATATATTTCAGTTTCCTTTCTTGTTTATCTATCTTTGGTATTTATCTTAAGCTACAATACGGTAAACTGAAATCACTTATGGTTTGGCATTTACCTGTTAATATTTTTACAGGAAATGGTCTCTTGATTAACCTTTTTTATTTTTCTTATTAATAACATATTAATCTTTTTTATTTTTTTATTAATAACATATAATGTATCACAGGTCTGTGATTCATCAGTCTTACACAATACACAGCGCTCACCACAACACATACCCTCCCTAATGTCCATCACCCAGCCACCCCATCCCTCCCATCCCCTCCACTCTAGCAACCCTCAGTTTGTGTCCTGAGATTAAGAGTCTCTTATAATTTGTCTCCCTCTCTGGTTTCATCTTCTTTCATTTTTTCCTCTCTTCCCCTATGATCCTCTGCCTTGTTTCTCAAATTCCACAAATCAATAGATCATATGATAATTGTCTTCTCTGATTGACTTATTTTGCTTAGCATAATACCCTCTAGTTTCATCCACGTCATTGCAAATGGCAAGATTTGATTTTTTGATGGATGCATAATATTCCATTGTATATGTGTGTGTGTGTGTGTGTATACACACACACCACATCTTTATGGATTCATCTTTTGAGGGACAGCTGGGCTCTTTCCATAGTTTGGCTATTGTGGACATTGCTGCTATAAACATTGGGGTGCAGGTGCTCCTTCGGATTACTACATTTGTATCTTTGGGGTAAATACCCAGTAGTGCAATTTCTGGGTCGTAGGGTAGCTCTATTTTCAACTTTTTGAGGAACCTCCATACTATTTTGCAGAGTGGCTGCACTAGCTTGCATTCCCACCAACAGTGTAGGAGGGTTCCCCTTTCTCCGCATCCCCGCCAACATCTGTCGTTTCCTGACTTGTTAATTTTAGCCGTTCTGACTGGTGTGAGATGGTATCTCATTGTGGTTTTGATTTGTATTTCCCTGATGCCGAGTGATGTTGAGCACTTTTTCATGTGTCTGTTGGCCATTTGGATGTCTTCTCTGTGGAAATGTCTGTTCATGTCTTTACCCATTTCTTTTTATTTTTTATTTTTAAAAGATTTTATTTATCCATTTGTCAGAGATAGCACAAGCAGGGGGAGCAGCAGGCAGAGGGAGAGGGAGAAGCAGGCTCCCTGCCGAGCAAGGAGCCCGATGTGGGACTTGATCCTAGGACCCTGGGATCATGACCTGAGCCAAAGGCAGACGGTTAACCGACTGAGCCACCCAGGCATCCCGACTTCTGCCCTATTTGTTCTTTGGGTGTTGAGGTTGGTAAGTTCTTTATAGATTTTGGATACTAGCCCTTTATCTGATATGTCATTTGCAAATATCTTCTCCCATTCTGTCAGTTGTCTTTTGGTTTTGTTGACTGTTTCCTTTGCTTTGCAAAAGCTTTTTATCTTGATGAAGTCCCAATAGTTCATTTTTGCCCTTGCTTTCCTTGCCTTTGGCCATGTGTCTAGGAAGAAGTTGCTGCGGCTGAGGTCGAAGGGGTTGCTGCCTGTCTTCTCCTCATGGATTTTGATGGACTCCTGTCTCACATTTAGGTGTTTCAGCCATTTTGAGTCTGTTTTTGTATATGGTGAAAGAAAATGGTCCAGTTTCATTGTTATGCATGTGGCTGCCCAGTTTTCCCAACACCATTTGTTGAAGAGACTGTCTTTTTTCCATTGGATATTCTTTCCTGCTTTGTCGAAGATTAGTTGACCATAGAGTTGAGGGTCTGTTTCTGGACTCTCTATTCTGTTCCATTGTTCTGTGTGTCTGTTTTTGTGCCAGTACCATGCTGTCTTGATGATTTCAGCTTTGTAATAGAACTTAAAGTCCAGAATTGTGATGCCGCCAGCTTTGGTTTTCTGTTTCAGCATTCCTCTGGCTATTTGGCCTCTTTTCGGTTCCATACAAATTTTAGGATTATTTGTTCCATTTCTGTGAAAAAAGTTGATGGTATATTGAGAGGGATTGCATTAAATGTGTAGATTGCTCAAGGTAGCATAGACATTTTAACAGTCTTTGTTCTTCCAATCCATGAGCATGGAACGTTTTTCCATTTCTTTGTGTCTTCCTCAATTTCTTTCATGAGTATTCTATAGTTTTCTGAGTACAGGTTCTTTGCCTCTTTGGTTAGGATTATTTCTAGGTATCTTATGGTTTTGGGTGCAATTGTAAATGGGATCGACTCCTCTTTTTTCTGTCTCACTGTTAATGTATAGATGTGCATTGATTTCTGTGGATTGATTTTATATCCTGCCACTTTCCTGAATTCCTGTATGAGTTCTAGCAGTTTTGGGGTGGAGTCTTCTGGGTTTTCCACATAAGGTATCATACCATCTGCAAAGAGTGAGAGTTTGACTTCTTTGCTCATTTGGATGCCTTTGATTTCTTTTTGTTGTCTGATTGCCAAGGCTAGGACTTCTAGTACAATCTTTTGATTGGGACATTTAGCCCACTTACATTCAGGGTAACTATTGAAAGATATTCATTTAGTGCTATTGTATTGCCTGCAAGGTGACTGTTACTGTATATTGTCTGTATTCCTTTCTGGTCTGTGTTACTTTTGGGCTCTCTCTTTGCTTAGAGGACCTCTTTCAGTATTTCTTGTAGGGCTGGTTTGGTGATCACAAATTCTTTTAATTTCTGTTTGTCCTGGAAGCTTTTTATCACTCTTTCTATTTTCAGTGACAGTCTAGCTGGATAAAGTATTCTTGGCTGCATATTTTTCTCATTTAGCACCCTGAATATATCATGTCAGTCCTTTCTGGCCTGCCAGGTCTCTGTGGATAGGTCTGCTGCCAGTCTAACGTTTCTGCCGTTGTACGTTACAGATACTCTTGTTCCGAGCTGCTTTCAGGATTTTCTCTTTGTCTCTGAGATTTGTAATTTTTACTATTAAATGTTGGGGAGTTGACCTATTTTTATTGATTTTTGAGGGGGGTTCTCTGTGCTTCCTGGATTTTGATGCCTGTTTCCTTCCCCACATTAGGGAAGTTCTTTGCTATAATTTGCTCCAGTATACCTTCCGCCTCTCTCATTCTTCTTCGTCTGGGATCCCAGGTATTCTAATATTGTTTCGCTTTATGGTATCACTTATCTCTTGAATTCTTTCCTCGTGGTCCAGTAGTTGTTTATCTCTCTTTTTCTCACCCTCTTTGTTCTCCATCATTTTGTCTTCCATATCACAAATTCTCTCTTCTGCCTCATTTATCCTAGCAGTTAGAGCCTCCATTTTTGATTGCACCTCACTTACAGCCTTTTTGATTTCCACTTGGTTAGATTTTATTTTTCCAGAAAGGGATTCTCTAGTGTTTCCTATGCTTTTTTCAAGCCCAGCTAGTAATCTTTATAATCGTTATTCTGAACTCTAGTTCCGACATCTTACTAATGTCCATATTGATTAGGTCCCTGGCAGTTGGTACTGCCTCTTGTTCTTTTTTTTGAAGTGAGGTTTTCTGTTTTGTCATTTTGTCCAGAGAAGAACAGATGAACAAGAGAACAAATTGCTAAAAGAGTAACAATGACTGCAGAGAAATATACACTAAATGAATCAGAAGAGACCCGAAACTGGGGGGAAAAGGGAAAAAAAAAAAATATGATCAGGCTCGTGAGTAGAACAGAGCCATACACTTGATTTTGGGTGTATTTTGGTCTTTTAGACGAAACTGCATCCCAGAATTTTAAAGTAAGAAAAACTTATATAATATACACACACACACAAATAAGGTTAAATACAATGAAGGGATGGAATATGACTGTAGAAAAATGAAAATTAAAGATTTTAAAAAGGGCTCCATAGCTCAGGGGTTAGAGCACTGGTCTTGTAAAGATTTTAAAAAGATAAGTTGGTTGAAAAAAGAAAGAAGAAAAATTAAAAAATGAATGTGATCAGGTAGGTGACTAGAACAGAATCATACACTAGATTGTGGGTATATTTTGGTCTTTTAGACAAAACTGCAGAAACTAAGAAAATCTTACATATATATACCAACAATAAGATTCAGTACAATGAAGGGATAGAATATGATTGTAAAAATGAAAATTAAAAAAGATTTTTAAAAAGGAATTGATAAGTTGGTTGAAAAAGGAAAGAAGAAAAATTCAAAAAAAAAGAAAAAGAAAAAAATAAAGAAAATTAAAAAAATTAAAGTTGAAAGACTAAGGAATCATGGGGAAAAATGCCATGACTTCTTTGTGCTGTATTCCCCTAGTGCTGGAGTTTTGCAGTTCTCATGGATCCCTAAACTTGGTCTTGGCAGGATATTCTTGCTGATCTTCTGGGGGAGGGGCTGTTGCATTGATTCTCAAATGTCTTTGCCCCAGGCGGAATTGCAGTGCCTTTGCCAGGGGCCAAGCTAAGCAGTCTGCTCCGGTTTGCTCTCAGTAGCCCTTTTCCCTGAAGGCTTTCAGCACAGCTTTAGAGGGTAAGAATGAAAATGGCAGTCTCCCAATCTCTGGCCCCAGAGGAGCCGAGAGCTTGGGGCCCCACTCAGTGAGGCCCCAGAGAAAAGCAGTCAGTAATTCCTGTCTCCCTGGTCTCCAGCCACACTCCGTGCTTACCTGGCCTGTGACTGAGCATTTCTATCTCTGGCACACGGCCCTGTTTGGAGTCTCCAAACCCAGCTGATTTCTTGCAGTGGGCTCTCGCGAGGCTCCTCCCAAGGGAGGAAGGGAAGTCTCCCCGGATCTGCTGCTTTTTGGGTCCCTGCTCAAAGAGCAAGGGCCCTACTGTGCTGCAGATCACGGTTTATGGCAACCCCAAGCTGAGAGCCCACTCCTGGGCTCTCTCTTTGCAGCCGGCTTCCCTACTCTGATACCTGGGAGCTCTGCCACACTCAGGCACTCCCAGGCTTTCAGTGACTCTGAGGGTCCTGAGACCACACTATCCCAGCGAGGGTTACACCCCCCTCCCCCTCTGCTTAGCCACCAGAGTGACGTCCCTCACTGGAGCAGACTTCTAAAAGTTCTGATTTTGTGTCCTTATGTTCTATCACTTGCCGGTAGCCAGCTGACAGAACGCTCCCCCTCCAACCCCGCGCCCCCGTCTATCTTCCCATATATGCCTCAGATTCACTTCTCCGCATGTCCTACCTTGCAGAAAGCGGTCGCTTTTCTGTTCATAGAGTTGCTGCTATTCTTTTCTTCTATCTCCTGTTGAGTTTGTTAGTTGTTCAGAATGGTTTGATAGCTATCTAGCTGAATTCCTGGTACCAGACAAAAGTTAGGTCTCCTACTCCTCTGCCATCTTGGACCACCCTCCTCTTGATTAATCTTTTAATTGTCTTCACTGATTAAGCTGAAAGCTCCTTTCCTTTGGAAACCATTCCGTCAGATGGCCACAGCACACGTTGTGTTTAAGACACACCTTTCACACTCCGCCGCCCCCCTCCGCCCAATTGATTGATATTACCACCAGTCATATTTGTTCCTAAATTTATTTTATATAAATTTGTGAATTATAAATTCTAAAATTGTTTCTAAGAAAACCAAGTTGAATGCTTTGGAGTCATTTGAACAGTTGTTTTCAAATTTAGGGGAAGATTATAAGAAATAAATAACTTAAAGGCTCTGCTTTCAGATTGCTTCTAAGTACTCTATGTTCTCTTTTGTCAGAGAAATTAAAGCTAAATATTTTAAACTATGTATTGTATTCTTATGTAGTGAAGATAACATGTAATTCCAAATTGTGGTTCAGGACTTAGCCCATATTATAGGATTGATGAATGAATGTACTTTGTATGTTTTTGTTAAAAACCTTAGTGGCTCTTTGTATTTCTCTTGATAAAAAGTGTCAAATATGTATGAAAGTAGTGAGAATGGTATTAACTCCTCACACTTACAAGCAATAAAAGAAAATATTGGTAAATTGGACTTCATTGAAATTGAAAACTTTCATGCCTCAAAAGACTTATAAAGACTGAAAAGGCAGCACAAAGATGGAAGAGAATATTTGCAAATCATATATGGTAAGGGACTGGCATCCAGATTTTAGGTCTTCCAATTCAATAAAAAACACTATAAAGTGGACAAAGGTTTTCAGTAGACATTTGTCTAAAGAAGTTGTAAAATGGCCAGTAAACACATGAAACAATGTGCAACATCTTTAATCATCAGGGAAATGCAAATGAAAACCATGAGATAATGGTTTTACACCTATTATAATAGCTATAATCAAAAAGTTGGAAAATAGTAAGTGTTGGTGAGGATATGGAGAAATTAAAACTCTCATTCATTGCTGGTGGGTATGTAAAATGATGGAGTTGCTGTGAAAGTAGTTTGACAGTTCCTCAAAACATTAAACATAGCACTATCATATGAGCCAGCAGTTCCAGTCCTAGTTATATACCCAAGAGAAATGAAAACATATGTCTACACAAAACCTTGTACATGAATATTCATAGCAGCATTAATCACAATAGTGATAGAGTAGAAACAAATCTCCCATCAACTGATGAATGGATAAATAACATGTAGTGTGTCCATATGGTGGAGTATTACTGAGCCATAGAATGGAGTGAAGTATTGATATGTACTATCATATGGATGAACTTTGAATACATTAGGCTAAGTGAAGAAAGACAGATACAAAAGGCCACATGTTTTAAGATTCTGTTCGTCCACAGACATCTGTAGAGACCGCATCAGCAAATCCATAGAGACAATAGATTAGTGGTTGCCAGGGCCAGGGGAAGGGGAGAATAGGGAATGACTGCTAATGGGTACAGTGTGTGTTTCTGGACTGATGAAAATATTGTGGCATTAAAGAGTGCTCATGGTTGCACAGCCTTGAGAATATACTAAAAACCACTGTTTTGAATGCTTTAAGAAGGTGGTGATTTCATGGTATGCAAATTTTATATCCGTTAAGAAAAACTCATATACTTATCCCACAATCTCAGTTAGTATAAGATTTAGTCATATCTGCTTTATCTCTTCTGTTTTTTTATTACTTTTTTCTGATATTTTAAAATTCAAGTATCGTTTTATTCCTACATATTTTAGTATGCATCTCTAAAAATACAGATATTTTCTTATATAACCACAGTCTGTTAACACTGCTAACAGAATTAACAGTTCTTTTATTATCATATAGTACTCTAGTCCATATTCATTTTACTAATTATCCAGGTTAGTTTGCTTGAATTGGAGTCCAAAGAAGGTTACCTTATGTTACGTTATATTATTTGTTGTGTGTCCTAAGTCAGTGACTGTTGAAAAAAACTCAGTCTGTCACCCTATAGAGTGTTCCATGATTTGGATTTGTCTGTATGCTTAGTCATGCTGTCATTTTTCTTGTTTCTCTCTTCCCTATATCCTCTATAAAGCAAAAGTTAGCTTTAAAGGCTTGATTAGATTCATATTCAGGGTTTTTTTGGCATATGTATAATTTTTCATACTTCTCCACCCTGACAGTTTTTTAATTAAACTGACCAGTGATAAGTTCCTATACCATCACTTAAAAGTGCTTTATTCTACTTAAGGGAAAAAAGTTTAGTTAATTTATAATTTTTAGGGGTTATTGGGTTTTTAGTTGATAAAATAATTTGGTCTCAGTTATTTTTGTTTTCTCAAACAGACTCACCTGTTGATTTTTGTTTACAACCATGGATGAATAATAAGGAGAACAAGGTAATCTTTTATATGTTACCAATTTCTGGAGTGTTATTAGGAGAGTGAAAGTTTCTATTTTGTATCTGTAAGTGTTAAATAGCAGTAATTTTAGTTAGAAAAATAGCAGAAATCCACATTACTGCTTCAAGTAATCAGCACGTGAGAGTCGTCTTGGTCTAGGGCTTCCCCTGTGTCATTAGGACTTCTCCACCTTTGCTCTACTTCACTCCTTGCTGCTTCCCTCTTGAAAGATGGCTCTGGGAGGGTAAGGGCTTCTCTTTGTTTTGTTTATTTTATTTAAAGATTTTATTTATTTATTTATTTGTCAGAGAGAGAGAGAGAGAGCACTTGCGGGTGGAGCCGCAGGCAGAGGGAGAAGCAGGTACCCCTCTGAGCAGGGAGCCCCACGTGGGATTTGATCCCATGACCCTGGGATCATGACCCTGAACCAAAAGCAGATGCTTAACTGACTGAGCCACCCAGGCGTCCCTCTTTGTTTTGTTTACTGTATCTTGAGTGCCTGGCACATAGTTGGCACTCAGTAATTGGTTGAATGATCAGGAGGCTGTCTTCATTTTTAGGCAACCTAAGCCTACATTCTTAACATTCGTGACCAAAAAAGAAGACCGTGAACTTTCTTTGAGGGTAAATTAAAAAAAAAAAAAAAGGACAACAACTCTAATGAGCTCACTTGGGTCATATGTTCTCCCCTATGTAATTCACTGTGCCAAGGGGTAGGTTGGAATAAAATACTCTGTTTGTTGAGCCTGAACTTAGGTCTACTTCTGTGCGTATGTGTGTGTATGCATGTACATCAGTGTACGTATATATGTACAGAGAGGAATGCAGCTGATAGCCCCACCAGGTCCACATGATGTAAAAAGAGATGGGCTCCTCAAAGAAGGGGGGCTTAGCAGACCAACAGGTCATGTCCAACATAAACATTTAATAGGGATTTCAGGCCTGGAGTCTGGTATTTATAAAATATAAACAAAAAGGTCTAAAGAATTATTTCAGGTTGGCAGTCTATAGCTTATTTGCCTGTCTCTGTAAATTTTTTTTGGAACACAGCGATGCCCATTTGTTTCTGTTTTGTTCAGGGCTGCTTTGTGTTACAGTAGCCGAGTTGAGAAGCTGTGACAGAGACTGTAAGGCTGACAAAACCTGAAATATTTTGCTGGCTGACTCTTTACAGAAAATGTCGACCCCTGCTCTGTACACTTGCTCCTTGTATGTAACTACTAACAACTTTCAAATTTGAGAAATGCTTTTTAAAGGAAGTTCAAGTGTAGTCAAATTGAAATTAAGTTAGAAAGCATGATTTCTTGAACATTTAGAAGACATGGTTTCTAAAGAGAAAAGACATAACTTTTCTTCATGGTAGGAAATTTATTTTTTTAGGATGGCTGAAGAATTGACTTCCAAAAAGTATTAGAAATTATTGATAGTAAGAGAGGAACCATAAAACTGGAAAGCAGCAAGACAAGTATAGAAACATGAGATACTAATAAAAAGGAGATGACAAAGTAAGAGGAAGAGGAAAAGAAATACGTTAGAAAATGTAGACCAGAGGGAGCTACTACTTCATTTGACACGTGTGTGTGTGTGTCCGGGGGTGAGGGGAGTGGTGAGAATAAGCTCTTTTTAATTTATTTGATTAATTTTTTAAAAGATTTTTTATTTTTTAAGTAATCTCTACACCCAGCATGGGGCTCAGACTCACAATCCTGGGATCAAGAGCTGCATGTTTCACTGAGCCAGCCAGGCATCCCAGCTCTTTCTTATTTTTATTTTTATGTATTTATTTTTATCTATCAATCTATTTATTAAAGATCTTATTTATTTATTTGACAGAGAGTTAGCAAGAGAGGAAACAGAAGCAGGGGGAGTGGGAGAGGGAAAAGTAGGCTTCCTGCTGAGCAGAGAGCCCGATGTGGGGCTTGATCCCAGGACCCTGGGATCATGACCTGAGCCGAGGGCAGACACTTAATGACTGAGCCACCCAGGCACCCCTCTTTCTTATTTTTAATTAAAGTATAGTTGATATTACAATGTTTTCTTAGTTTCAGGTATACAACAAAGCAGTTAACAACTTTATACTTTTTTTTTTTTAAGATTTTATTTATTTGTCAGAGAGATAGAGAGCATGCACACACAGCAGGGGGAGCAGCAAAGAGAGAAGCAGGCTCCCTGCTGAGCTGGGAGCCCGGTGTGGGATTCGATCCCAGGACCCAGGGGTCATGACCTGAGCCAAAGGTAGTCACTTAACCAACTGAGCCACCCAGGTGCCCAACTACTGTATACATTATAAATGCTCTCCATCAGAAGTGTAGTTACCCTCTGTCACCATGCAAAGTTATTACAATATTATTGACTGTATTCTCTATGTAGTACTTTTCATCCCTGTGACTTATTTATTTTATAACAGGGATTTTTGTACCTCTCATCCATCTATTTCACCCATCGTTCCAGTCTCTCCCCTCCAGGAACCACCACTTTTTTCTCAGATGTGTTTGAGTCTATTTCTGTTTTTTTGTTTGTTCATTTGTTTTTTTCGTTTCCACATCTTTAGATCTTTATGAGCATAATTCAGCACAGTTCTCTACAAGTATGCAATTGTATGGAGAGCCCTTGTTTTTATCTTAAAAATTGTGTATTTTGCAATCTAATTTTAAAGATGGTATTGTCTGATATATATTTAATAAGATTTTGAAATAAAGTTGACATGTAGAAGGCAATGTTACCTTTTATTCTGGGCCTTGAATGCCCTTAACAAACTGCTGTGTGCCGTTAGGATTATGTTGTCCCTGGGTTGAGAAGCAGAAAAACCAGCGATTTCAATGTAGATTGCAGAGTCCAACTTGGCTGTTATCTTCACTTCCTACCCCAAGCCTTGTATTGTTCAAATTCATTTGGGTGTTGGTGTACTAACTGTGTTCCTAGGTCTTCTGAGCTTGTGCATTCAATTTGAGATGTTAAATTTTAACAGTGTCTCAGTGGGTGGGTCAGGGGAGGAAAGTGGAATGGGGGCAGGAAGAAAGTTATTGATACACATAAAACAGCTAGACCTTCATTGCCTAAATTGTGAATTACAAATACTGAGCACATTGGTGGTCCTTTTTGCAACCTTCTAGTGTGGTCTTCAAAGTAGTGAGTTTGCTTTTGTTACTTGGCATTTTATTTCTTACAGATGATTGTTCCTCTTGCTGGAAAACATTTTGAAGACAAGAATCCACACAATGACTTAAGCCACACTAGTTTATTAGAAAATGAGAAACTTACATCACTGACAAGCTTGGAGGATTTTTCTGGTACTGTAAAGTGACTTGTGTTTTCCTAGTCTCCACGTCTTTCTACTTCTTTGTTTCAGTAGTTACTATGCCAGCTTTTTGTTTGTCTTCTCCTTTACCTCCTCCCTACCAGCACTCACATGGTGTGTTGAGTGATGGAATTTTTAAAAACTTATTTATTATGAATCCTGATATGATTATGCTCATCCCTCAGTTTATTATCATTAGGATACAGAATATAAAGCACTATGTTAAGAAATTGGGGGAACAATGAAATATTTAGTCTCTGCTCTTTGAAAGTTCTGCCAAGTGAGAGAAGAGATGCACTGCTAACCCTCTGACTACCTTAAGTATACCTCAACGGTACAAATTGTGCAGGATTCATAGGAGGGTGACAAATTAGTTCTGATTGAGGAAAGTATCTGTGAAGCTTTCTTAAAAGGGGATGCAGTTTTTCCTTTCTCATGAAAAGACCCATGATAAGCCTTAACATAGATTTGGGAAGAGAAGTATATTTCAGGAAGCGGGATAGCTTCTGTAAAGGCGCTATGGTGGGGGCATTTTAGACCATGTTTGGAGAATAGTTAAACTTGAGGTTTTGTGTGGCAGGTTTACAGCACCTGTAGGAGGCTATTTTGGGAAATAAACTCAGGCAAATAGGAAGGGACCAAATTAATTACAGCTTTGAAGGCCAGGCTGATGAGCTGAGTGGGATAAATAATTATAAATTCATGATAGGTTTTGCTGCCAGTGTTTAGATATTTTTGGATTATAGAATTGTGAATAAGGAATCATTGACTGAATTCATACAGACCTTTGTTTTAGTAGGCTAGGTTTTTTAAGGCTCTTAATGCTGATTGCAAAACTATTCTCTTGAAAAGGCAGTGGCAAGTTATAATATCATTACTAGTGATTGAGAGTTCTAGTTTTACTCTGGCCTTGCTGGGCTGTGTGTTAGAACATTAAAAACCATTGGTAGTGTTTTGCTTATTTACAGTTTTTTGGTTTGATGAAAGTTGAATAATTTTTATTCCTATCTATTGGTATTCAACTTTGCTATATATTGTTTTCCTTAGTTGCATCTTTCTCAAGATCAGATATTGTTTGAAGTTTCACTTTATGCTTAATCATTAGTTCACCTAGAATTTGTTTTTACTTCTCCTGTGACAGGCTTATCTGTCCCTTTTTGATAGTTACCCTTTGGCACATCATTTTCTGTCTTTTTAAAAAGATTTTTATTTTTTTGTCAGAGAAAGAGCGTGTGCACAAGCAGGGGAAGTGGCAGGCAGAGGGAGAAGCAGGCTCCCAACTGAGCAGGGAACCTGACATGGGACTTGATCCCAGGACCCTGGGATCATGACCTGAGCCGAAGGCAGACACTTAACTGACTGAGCCACCCAGGAGTCCCAGCACACCATTTTCTGAATAATTGTGGCGCCTGGGTGGCCTTTTTCCCACTGATCTTTGATGCCACATTTATTCCAACTTTTGCTATATGCCAGAATTTTTTTCTGTGCTATTCTCTCAAGGAAGATTAAATAGTTTGTATTAGAAGGTTCACAATGATTTATAGTTGAAACTATAAATAGTATTTTCAGTACAGATGTTAAAACAAAATCACATGGACTATTGACCCATGTGTTTTTTTTTTTTTAAGATTTTATTTATTTGCGAGAGAGAATGAGAGACAGAGAGCATGAGAGGGAGGAGGGTCAGAGGGAGAAGCAGACTCCCTGCTGAGCAGGGAGCCTGATGTGGGACTCGATCCCGGGACTCCAGGATCATGACCTGAGCCAAAGGCAGTCGCCCAACCAACTGAGCCACCCAGGCGCCCCGACCCATGTGTTTTTATCAACCTTTTTAAAAAATTTTAATTACAGTATACTTAACATACAGTGTTATATTAGTTTCAGGTGTACAATATAGTAATGTATTTGTTTTGTATAATGTTTTGTATATTACTTAGTGTTTATCATGTTAAGTGTACTCTGGTTCACATATTTCACCGGTTCCCCACCAGCTTCCCCTCAAGTAACCATCAGTTTGAACTCTAGTTAAAAGTCGGTTTCTAGGTTTATCTCTCTCTCTCTCTCTGCCTCCCCTTTGCTTGTTCATTTCCTAAAATCCACCTGAGTGAAATTATATGGTATTTGTCTTTCTCTGACTTATTTTGCTTAGCATAATACTTTCTAGCTCCATCCATGTTGCAAATGGCAAGATTTTTTCTTTTTAAAATTTTTTTTAAAGGTTTTTATTATTTATTTATTTGAGAGAGAAAGAGAGAGAGGACAAGTGGAGGGGGAGGGGGGTCGGTGCAGATGTAGAGGCAGACTCCCGCTGAGCAGGGAGCTCGAGATCATGACTTGAGCTGAAGGCAGATCCTTAACCGACTGAGCCACCCAGGTGCTCCAAGATTTTATTCTCTTTTATGGCTGACTAATATTCCCCTGTGTGTGTGTTTGTGTGTGTACCACATCTTATTTACCCATTCACCTGTTGACACTTGGGCTGCCTCCATAGTTAGGCTATTCTAAATAATGAGGCAGTAAATGTAGAGGTGCATGTAGACTTTGAATTAGTGTTTTCTGGTTTTTTTTTTTTTGGATTGGGTTAATTAAATTTTATTTATTTTCCCTTATTTTTTAAAATTTCTAAAATTTTTTTTTCAAGATTTTTATTTTTTTTTATTTGACAGAGAGAGACACAGCAAGAGAGGGAACACAAGCAGGGGGACTGGGAGAAGGAGAAGCAGGCTTCCCACTGAGCAGGGAGCCCGACACGGAGCTTGATCCCAGGACCCTGGGATCATGACCTGAGCCGAAGGCAGACGCTTAACAACTGAGCCACCCAGGCACCCCTAAAATTTCTAAAATCTTTTAAGTTTAAATTCAATTAATTAACATGTAGTGTTTAATTAGTTTCAGAGGTAGAGTTTAGTGATTCATCAGTCTTATATAATACCCAGTGCTCATTACATCACATGCCATCCTTAACGTCCATCACCCAGTTACCCCTTCCCCACCCCCCCCAGCAGCCCTCAGTTTGTTTCCTATGATTAAGTCTCTTACGGTTTGTCTCCCTCTCTGATTTCATCTTGTTTTATTTTTCCCTCCATTCCACTAGGCTCCTCTGTTTTGATTCTTAAATTCCATATATGAGTGAGATCATATGATAATTGTCCTTCTCTGACTGACTTATTTCAACTCAGCATAGTACCCTCTGGTTCCATCCATGTCATTGCAAATGGCAATATTTCTTTTTTTTGATGGCTGAGTAATATTCCATTGTGTATATATACCACATCTTCTTTATCCATTCATCTGTTGATGGACATCTGGGCTCTTTCCATAGTTTGGTATTGTGGACATGCCATAAACATTGGGGTGCAGGTGCCCCTTCGGATCACTGCATTTGTGATCACTAGTAGTGCAATTGCTGGGTCGTAGAGTAGCTATTTTCAACTTTTTGAGGAACCTCCATACTGTTTTGCAGAGTGGCTGCACCAGCTTGCATTCCCACCAACAGTGTAAAGTTCCCCTTTCTCCGCATCCCCGCCAACATCTGTCGTTTCCTGACTTATTAATTTTAACCGTCTGACTGCTGTGAGGTGGTATCTCATTGTGATTTTAGTTGTATTTCCTTGATGCCAGGTGATGTGGAGCATTTTTTCATGTGCCTGTTGGCCATTTGAATGTCTTCTTTGGAGAAATGTCTGTTCATGTTTTCTGCCCACTTCTTGATTGTATTATTTGTTCTTTGGGTGTTGAGTTTGATAAGTTCTTTATAGATTTTGGATATTAGCCCTCTATCTGATATGTCATTTGCAAGTATCTTCTCCCATTCTGTTGGTTGTCTTGGTTTTGTCAACTGTGTCCTTTGCTGTGCAAAAACTTTTTATCTTGATGAAGTCCCAATAGTTCATTTTGCCTTTGTTTCCCTTGCCTTTGGAGATGTGTCTAGCAAGCAGTTGCTGTGGCTTAGGTCACAGAGGTTGCTGCCTGTGTTCTCCTCTGGGTTTTTGATGGATGCCTATCTCATGTTTAGGTCTTTCATCCATTTTGAGTCTATTTTTGTATATGGTGAAAGGAATTGGTCCACTTTCATTCTTCTGCATGTGGCTGTCCAATTTTCCCAACACTATTTGTTGAAGAGACTGTCTTTTTTCCATTGGATATTCTTTCCTGCTTTGTCGAAGATTAGTTGACCATAGAGTTTTGAGGGTCCATTTCTGAGTTCTCTGTTCTGTTCCATTGTTCTTTGTGTCTGTTTTTGTGCCAGTACATACTGTCTTGATGATCACAGCTTTGTAATAGAGCTTGAAGTCTGGAATTGTGATGCTACCAGCTTTGGTTCTCTCTTTCAACATTCCTTTGGCTATTCGGGGTCTTTTCTGGCTCCATACAAATTTTAGGATTATTTGTTCCATTTCTGTGAAAAAAGTTGATGGTATATTGAGAGGGATTGCATTAAATGTGTAGATTGCTCAAGGTAGCATAGACATTAACAGTCTTTGTTCTTCCAATCCATGAGCATGGAACGTTTTCCATTTCTTTGTGTCTTCCTCAATTTCTTTCATGAGTATTCTATAGTTTTCTGAGTACAGGTTCTTTGCCTCTTTGGTTAGGATTATTTCTAGGTATCTTATGGTTTTGGGTGCAGTTTCTGTTTCTTCTGTCTCATTGTTAATGTATAAATGTGCAACTGATTTCTGTGCATTGATTTTATATCCTGCCACTTTCCTGAATTCCTGTATGAGTTCTAGCAGTTTTGGGGTGGAGTCTTTTGGGTTTTCCACATAAAGTATCATATCATCTGCAAAGAGTGAGAGTTTGACGACTTCTTTGCTGATTCGGATGCCTTTTATTTCTTTTTGTTGTCTGATTGCCGAAGCTAGGCCTTCTAGTACTATGTTGAACAGCAGTGGTGATAGAGGACATCCTTGCCATGTTCCAGACCTCCAGAATGATATTCACTGTGGGCTTTTTGTATATGGTGTTTATGATATTGAGGTATGTTCCTCT